CCAAATAAAAAGGCCCCAAAGACCACATTTTTGGGGGGGTCCTTGGGGCAGCATAGGAGCCGGGACCCTGTCGGGCCTCTTGGGCTTCGGATTTTGTTTAGTAAAAACCCTCAACCCTCAACCCTAAATGAAGCCGGACTGGATGACCGCCAGCACACTAAACCCTCAAAACCCTCTAAACCTAGGGCCTATTGGGCTTAGGATTTGTTTAGTAAAAACCCTCAACCCTCAACCTAAAAACCCTCAAAACCCTCAAAACCCTCAAAACCCTCAAAACCCTCAAAACCCTCAAAACCCTCAAAACCCTCAAAACCCTCAAAACCCTCAAAACCCTCAAAACCCTCAAAACCCTCAAAACCCTCAACGCTTTTGAGCTCTCAACCTCGGGATGGGTCCCCCTTATACTAACAGTCCCTTCAGAGGGGGCTTTCAGTGCCCCCGACTATAATCCCCTATTGAGGACTGTTAGATTAAGGGCAACATCCTCAAACCCTAAACCCTAAACCCTAAACTCTCAAACCCTCAAACCCTAAATCACATCAAGCTGCAGGGCCTCAGTGCAGTCCGCGACCACGGCGCGGCTGACAGTGACAGTCCTTTCCGGTTTACCCCCCCCCCCCCCCGTGGCAGGTTTGGGGTTTAGGGTTTAGGGTTTAGGGATGTTCCCCCTTATGCTAGGAGTCCTTCATAGGGAGCCATATGAGGCTCGGGTGATACACTCATCACTACTGGATGGCAAACAACATGCAAAGAAACTCACAAATGGCAGGCGGGCACCGTCACAACAGTAAGTACCACCCAAACAACAAAACAACCGCCCACAACCGACTCCCTGCTGAAGTACACAATACCCAACAAAGACCCAGGGAAAACATGAATGTCCCAAGGCCTACCCTAAACCCTAAACCCTAAAAACCCTAAACCTTATACCCTATAAACCCTAAACCCTAGTATGAGAGCCCCAGCTTCTGCTTCGCCAGGCCCACCGGGAGCCGGCTAACCAGAAGGATGAGGGGGCTGGCCATGGAGAGGCCCACCAGCGCCTCGGGATGATTTGTGAGGGGTCTTCTTGTTTAGGGTTTGGGGTTTAGGGTTGAGGGTTTAGGGTTTAGGGTTTAGGGTTTAGGGTTCAGGGTTACCTCCTCGGCTTGAATCCCCCCCCCCCCCCACCCCAACGGTTTTTCGAGCAGACGAACAATCGTACTGCAGGGAACACGTCACCATTGGAGAAACATCCACTTGCTGCTTCAGTCTGGCTTATCATTGAAACCAGTCCTCTCCACTTTATCCGAGCTTCTTCACCCTCACAAGAGCCACACCTCAAGGCCGGAACACACCCCCAAAGTCAGCAGCGAAGCCTCTGCGATCACGGACCCTCACCTTTCACGAGTCTGACCATCAGCCACATATTAGGGCTAAACCCTAAACCCTGAACCCTAAACCCTAAACCCTCAACCCTAAACCCTAAACCCTGAAACCTAAATATGGAGACCCCGCTCCAAACGAGCCCCCAAAGCAGCAGAAACCACATCATCCCAAGGCCGCTACCCGACTACCTCCAGTGCACCAAGAGGCCAGCCCATAGCCCAAGGTCCCACAGGCACTGCAGAGAACCAGGATCACCTGCTCCCAGGTTTGCGCAGCCTTGAGGGTCCGGCCCCCGTGCTCCGGTTGCGTTATGTTTACTCTACTGCATACACAGGGTCTAGGGTCTAGGATGTGGAGTTTGGGGTGTCGGGGACAACCCACATACATACCTACCTACCTACCTATTGCTCCGCCCACGTCGAAGCCAGAAGCAGCCCCCCCCCCCACTCTCTGAGCTCCAAGGCCCTTTCTAGGGCACATGATATGGGGCGACTATGATGACAGCTCTCGCGGTACCTCAGTAACTCTAGGAATAAAGAAGGGCTCCCGATTTGAGATGTATAGGGAACCTGAGACCTCAACAAGGGAAAAACAGGGACCACTAGCAGATCCAGTACTTTGAGGGCGCACAACGTAACCCTGAACCCTAAACCCTAAATCCCAAAACCCTAAATCTCGCGCCTTCCTGCCCCAACGGTCGGAGAGACGAGGCAATACGATGGCCCCAACCCACTGGCCGAGACCGTACATGGTCTCCAAGCTGCCAATCCTGGGGGCTGAGCACCGGTAAGGATACTTGGAGGTTCATGGTACTTATTCACCAATTATAACTGTACTTGTAGGGTTTAGGGTTTATAGGCTTTAGGATTAGAACTGTACGTATTACTGTGCTTATAAGCATATTATGGCACTTAAGGGGCTTATAAGTGGGTTATAAGTACAGTTCTATTGGAGTTAAGAAGTACAATGAACCTCCAAGTAGGGATGGCTTGCAGTGGTTTTTGGAGTTCTCGTGCAAGTCAACACGACAACAACATGCACATGCAAAGGTTCCAGGCTTCTCTGTTTTGTTCTTGTTTTTCTCAGGGGGCTTTCTCCTTGTTTCATGGTTGCTCTTGCCTAGCTAGGAAGGCCCTCATCGCTAGATCCAAATTTTTAGAAGTTCATCCCTGCGGATACTCTGACTGTCTAAAGCACGTCAATGAATGGGCACGAGACATTGAAGGTATCTTAATTTCCGAGAACCCCTCCTGGCCCATTCTTGACTAGATATTTGCAGCGCTGCCTCCTTCATAGAGACACTACACTCACGGCTATCTAAGAAAACGAGCAGAAGATATTGAGAGACAGCCGGTAGGCTAATAGTAGGCTAAGGCATGAGGAGGCAATCTGAAAAATGGCAACCCTAAGAGGCCTTATGAGGCATTCTCTTGGCGAGACATGGAGCCGCGTATCACCTCCACAGATCACATGGGAGCTTCTTGCGAAACGCGGCTCCGGATCCTATACTCCCCTTAGAAGCTTACTAAAAATAATATGCTTCATATCCTCTTGGGTTTTATACAAACAAAAATAACAAAAAAAACAATTCCCAAGGGGGATAGAGGATCATGGTGCTGGAGCCACCCAAGGCCTTGGCATGGAAGGGAAGGCAGACGCGCATCATCGTGACGAAGGCGTAGTCGCAGATGACGGCCGCGAGCACCAGCCAAAGCACATGGCGCTTGCTGGCCATGGCGGGATCTCCCCCTAAACCCTAAACCCTAAACCCTAAACCCGAAACCCGAAACCCGAAACCCTAAACCCTAAACCCTAAACCCTAAACCCTAAACCCTAAACCCCAGCCCTAGCTCCACAGACGTCCCTGAGTTCCTAGACCCTTGATCGTGGAGATGTATGAGATGTGCGATTCTTGCCTTGGTGTTGGGCTCAGTTTGGGGTGTAGGGGGGTGTAGGGAGGTTTAGGGGTTTAGGGTTTAGGGGGACTTTGGGGGGGGCTTGGGGATTGAGGCTTGAGTGTGTGCCAGGGGGAGAACTACGCTTTCCACAACCCTGCCAACCCGACCAACGAGCTCCACACCAATGCAGCATGTGGAAGAGGCGCATTGCTGAGTTCGGCTACCCTAAACCCGAGCTCTGAACCTCATCAGCTTGCGAACCTGCGTCTTGCTCATGTTTTCGATGCTCAGCTGCGTCCATGATGAGGGCTTCATTTAAAGCGGTTTGCCGTTGGCTCTGCTACTCTGGGGCTACACAACATAGCCTGGGAGTACTGCGGATCAGCAACACTTGTTGCGCAACTGAAGCCGGCCCGAAAATTGTTCACATGGACAGAATGCCCTGCAACAAGAGGTGCGCAGAGGACGACTTCAACACCCCCCGCGTCGTAAGGATGGGCTTCTGAACGACGAGTTCGAAGTCGTGAGCCGTGCGGTTACCCTCGCTCTTCGACAGTGGCCGGCTGTGCACTAGAGTCGTACAAGGCGTTACGCCGCAGGGACGCTGAATCGAAGGACCCTCGGCAATTCTGTCTGGGTGGTGGCATCAGAACGTCTCTGTGAACGGTACGTTCGCAGTTGGTCTCGCACGTCGATAAGCACGTCACAGGCCTTGCACACCCTCTTCGTCCCAAGAAAGCCTCCCGTACGGAAAACTGCTGATAGCAGTTCCCAAGGCTTCGTTGAGCCTTGCGCATGCAGCAATGCAGTCAAGGTGCAGCTTATCATACTGTGTCTTGACCTCGCACGTCAAAGGCGCGGAGGAGCTACCACCAGGATCCAAGTGGATAGGAGGAAACTCACGAGGAGTTTGCGTCGGGGAACTGGTGCAAAGTCCCCCCTGGCATGTGGCATAGGATCCCTGCCGAGTCGTCTGACTGGCGATGTTGTGCATCCCGACGTCATAGAAATTGTTCCAATTGTGCATGCAGGGTGATCAACCACAAGGAATTCTGAAGCCCGGGTTGAGGGTTGATTGATAGGGGGGTTGAGCTCAAGCGTGGATCCTTTGGGGGACCTCAAGCTGCAGAATGAGTTTATGCCTATGTGTACATATGTCTGTGTATGTGTGTATGTATATGTATATATATATATATATGTATGTATATGTATATGTATAGATATATAGGTATATAGGTATATATGTATATATGTATATATGTATATATGTATATATGTATATATGTATATATGTATATATGTATATATGTATATATGTATATATAGATATATATATATATAGATATATATATATATATGTGCGTGTATGTATGTATACTAGACTAGAGACCCAAAAAGGGCCAACAATCCTCAGGATGAGCCCAGAGAATCGAACAAGATCCTTCTTTTGCAACCCCAAAAACTCCTAGGGTTTAGGGTTTAGGGTTTAGGGTTTAGGAGTGAGCCCACAGCCTTCAGACTTAAAACATCAAGATGCCAGCCACCGAACCCTAAACCCATTTGCCTAAGTCTGAAACATTCCGAAACCCTAAACACTTAGTTGTCCAGTATCCTAGGGGGAACTACTGGAGGTTAACCTTTGGGATAAGAAAGGGAATATAAGAACCCAAAGAAGGTAAAGGGTACCTACTCTACTACTAAGAACAGCCCTAACCCCCAAGCCCCCGCCCGCACCTGGATCTGCAGGGCATCCTGCACTCAAGAAAGCTGAGATCTGTTCGGTGGCTCCCTACACCCAATATACTATATCCTAAACACCCAAAACCCTAAACCCTAAACCCTAGCCCTAAACCCTAAACCCTGTTCGGTGGCTGCTGTGTTGCTGTGTTCTGTAGGGATTTGGGCAGCCTGGCAAAGCGACTTCACGGCACTAACCTGACCCCTCGCGGCTTCTCTACAGGCAAGGGGGCTCCCTAGCTGCAAGTAGAGTTCTACGAGCCTGCGCAACCAGGCCAACCTACACCCCATGAAGTCCTCCGCTCCCGGATTGAGCGCAAGGGTCGCACCGAAAATACCGCCACGTTGCCTGGGCACGTTTTTTTGAGACAAGGCCCCCTGACTAGTTTGCAGGCCTGCCGTGCTCGCCCCTTCCTGTCCCTCGCTCAGAAATTGACCCCCCAAGCTCTCTAGCTCCTCTTTCTCAGGCCTATCTCACCCTGCTAGCTAAGCCCCTGCCCCATGACTACTAATTGCTTAAGAACCCCCACAAAAATTAAAAACATCCTTCCCTGTAAGCGTAACATAGGGAGTACTACTTCTTATTCTTTGGGGGTTCTTAAGCGAATAACCCTAAACCCTAAACCCTAAACCCTAAACTGAGAGTGGTACGTGGCCGCACGATCGCCAGCCGTGTGGGCAGGGATGCCGCGGCCAGGCGCTTACATGAGAAGCCTGGGGTATCAGACTTGGGTTTAGGGTTTAGGGTTTAGGGTTTAGGGTGTAGGGTTTAGGGTTTAGGGTTTAGAGTTTAGGGTTTTATCAGACTTGCGGCGTGTTCGGGGTGAAACAGGAAGCGTGCAAGATGCCGCCTCTTGGGCGGCACAAGCTTTTGGTCTGGAAGGTCGGGTGAAATGAGGTACCTGCCAGCCGAATATCCGGCAGAGCCTTCGTGAATATCCTTTTGCGACCAGGTCTTTCCTTTGTTCTGAACATCCTACACATGACAACCGTGCGATTCGGAGGATTCCTGCGGGCCCGCCCACGCGTCCTCTGCATCTTGTGGCCTTGTGGCAGATGTGCTTTAGCAGCCCTTTCCCTGCTCCTCTGCCCCGAGGCGAAACCGCATCCCTAAACCCTAAACCCTTTTGCATCTGGACTGGTGCTGCCAGAAACTGCCCAAGCACCCTAAACCCTAAACCCTATAAACCCTAAAAACCCTGTCTTGGGGCCTTTGGCCGGGAGGCCCCTGCGTCGGCACAGCGCCTTGAAGTGCGGCAGCTCGAGAACTTCGTCCCGTAGCGTGGTCATGGAGAAGTATCCTTCTGAGGCTTAGGGTTTAGGGTTTAGGGTTTAGGGTTCAGGCTTTAGAGTGATCAGCAGGTTCCTCTCAGGAGTTGTAAGATTTGAGGCAAGGTACGAGCCGTCCCTCAAAGGGCCTTTGGTGGAACACCATGTCTCTGCGTGTTTTCTTGGGGGAACTTCGATGGAGAAGTATTTTTAGTATTGCCAGTATTGTTATTGTGTCCATTACTACTATTAATATTCGTATTAGTAGTATGATTAGTAATTGTAATGACCGTATGTAGTCTGGCATCCATGTGCCACCAGGTGTCGCCGAAGCTCCACCGCCATGAGCAGGCGCGGTGCTTGCGATCCTGGGCTTTAGGGTTTAGGGTTAGGGTGCGGAGAGGTTGTGTTCCTCACGACCTCAACGGCATCTCCTACAGCCCTACAGCCTCTAAGAAGGTGTCTGCCGGGTTCTGTGTAGTTGCAAAGGGGCGGCGATCAAGTCCGAAGTTTCGATTCCCCTGCCCATGTCTCCCCAGAAGCTGGCGGTTGGGTTAAAATTCCGGTGCTTCCTCGGATCTTTAGGACACTGCGTCATCCGCGGAGAAACAGGAGCAGAAAAGATGATCCTCAACCTGCGATGCCGAAATCGCCAGCCGCCCACTGCACGAGATCGCTGAGCCAACGAAAGAGCGAAACCCGATGAAGCCCTCAGCCCAGGTGTGGGGGGTTTACCATATTCGGAGTACCTTACTGGGGTCCCTATTATCAGGGACCTATATTATAGGGGGTTCCTTATCTTCGTAAACCCTCATATGTGAAACCTAGACTCTTCCCAGCTGGAAGCGCGCCGGCGTTCTGAACCACCTGGCGTGCTTGCTTTCTCCGGCCTTTATGAGGCACCCGGGCCCCCGCTGGGGTACACAACCAGCAGAAGCATCCAGCCTGCGAATTCCGAGAAGGGTCTGCATCAAGCGCCTCTTTCTTGCCACAGTGGGGGAGCGAAGGAAGCGTGAACGGCGCTTTGTTCTTTGCTAAGTTGGGTGTAGGAGGCCTGCGGTAACCTGGCCTGTAGTGCTACCGAGGCAGTTTTTGGAAATATGGTAGTCCCCCTCTGCAGTGCCGAAATCTAAGGATGTAAGGGGCCATGGTAGGAGCCACCCAAGCAATTTCTTGCGGCAGGCCCTGGGGCCAACTTCGGAGGACTGCTCACTGCAAAGGTACTGTGCCTGCACTGCTTTGTGGAGACGGGGCCCTTATAAGGGACCACAGGCGTTCCTCTTACACTGAGAGTCCGTACGTTCCACACCCCTCAACACTTACCCCCTGGCTGTGTGCCGTCCAGAAGCTCGGCAGATCCTTCTTCACGCAGGGGGTCCGACCACAGGAGCAACCGGACGTTCTTCAAGCGCGGCCAGTCCTGCCACTGGGGAAGGTTTCCTTGCAGGTCTCGCCCTACACCCTGTTTTTGCAACTGGACTGTCATCGACTGCCTAAACCCTAAACCCGAAACGTAAACCCTGAACCCAAACGCTAAACTTGAACCCTAAACCGCCGAGTGCTCCTGTGACAGGCTCCTTTTACCGAGAGCCGGCAATCTTAAGGTTACGGCTCATCCCTTGGGGGACCAAATCAACCCTGAAAGGGCTCAGGGTTCACCATACCTGAATGGGAATTATAGCGTACACCGCTCAACCTTCAACCCTACAGCCCTAAAGCCCTAAAGGGTATGTGGCCCCAATTTTTGGGCTCATTTGGTCCCTAGGTTCTTTCCTCCTTTCACAGTCGACAGCTAAGCAAGTTCGCGACCCCGGCAGCTCGGAACACGCTCACACGATTCTGTCCATGGTTCGAACAGGGGTTTTGGCCTCAGGGTCCATCAAGCACAACTCAGTAGCTTCGCCCAGCAGCACGACTTTTTGCTACGAATAGGAGCATGCACACTAGACATGGCAGACGTGGTCCTGGGAAGCATGCTCGACACTACAGTGAGTCTTCTCATTGGGACCACGACTCTAAGCGCCGCGGTTCGCGTCTAGAACTCACAGAAAGGGGCATGTCTTTTGCTAGGAATGAAACAGGGCCCTGGTAGTGTACCATTTCCTTTACCCTGGAGGCCCACTCCTCCCGACGCCAGCGGTAGGCCGGAGAGGCTCCTGGCTCCGCCGGAGTTGGAAAGTTGCGACTCTTTGGGACTTTGAGGTTTGGGCACCCATTGGAGCAAGGGCACCAGGATTAAGTGGGCACACCGCGAGGCATTGGTCTCCAGATTCTCCAGATCACATTAAGCCGTGATAGCTGCAACGCTCGCAAATATCCGAATGAAACGCTTCCATGCAGTCGCCTCAGGAGTCTCTACTCTACTCGGCTCAGGGCACCTCTCCAACAACTTCCTCCAGAAAATCCATGTATGCCGCACACCAGAATCACATGACACTGGGGTTCTGAGCAAAAAATTGCGAGAGCGAACTTCTACACCCTGCCGGACTCTAAACTCTGCCCGAAACTACCCAAACCCTACTGCTAACCCTAAACCCTAAACCCCAAACCCCGAGGGCTGCAGCCAACTCACCGAGCCTCGCCCCCAACAGCGCAGCGCTGTGGCGCCGGCGCCATTGCGGCGCAGGTTGACCTCTTCTAGGGTTTAGGGTTTAGGGTTTAGGGTTTAGGGTTTAGGGTTTTTTCCTCCTGGTTTAGATGGTCTCTTAATGTGATTCCTTACCTCCCCTAAAGGTTTCTGAAGTGTGGACCTTGCGTTGCATAGGGTATATAAGGGTTTTCTAAGGGGCCCCCCTTGAAGGGCCCATGTAACTACCCTGAGCGTCTCTGGCTCGGGAGTTGTTGTTAGGTGCGGTGTTGCGTTAGGATCTGTCGAGCCTGCTCTGGGACGGAGGGCGGGGAATTGGGGGGGAATTGGGGGGGAGGGGTATGGAAATAGGTGTTTGTTGTTTGTTGTTGTCATTTGTATTTTGTTTCTTTGTATCTCTCTTACTTTTGCTCTTTTTTTTTTTTTTGGGGGGGGGGGGGGGGGGGGGGCGCGAATCAATAAATTCAGGCCATACTTGTCCAAACTAAAACCCCCTATAAAGACCCTGAAAAAGCCCCATCTACACCCGAACCCCCCAAAACATAAACCCATAAAAACCCTACAAAGACAGAACCTTTCTATGCCTTAACCCGAAAACCCAGCCAAGATACCAACCCAACCCTATAAACCCTGCATAAGCCCCATCTAACCCCCGAAAACCCACCCCCTAAAAACACCAACCGCCGACCCTTCCACCCTAAACCCTAAACCCTAAACCCTAAACCCTTCCCCAAGGCCAGGCCATGGGGCGGCCGCATTCCGAAGCACGGCTTCCTGGCCGTCCACCGCGAAGACATGGAGGGCCACCCGGGCAGCCGCCACCTCGTTTAGGGTTCAGAGTTTATAGGGTTTAGGGTTTCTAGGGTCTAGGGTCTAGGATCTAGGGTCTAGGGTCTAGGGTTTAGGGTTTAGGGTTTAGGGTGTTTTAGGGCTTGTAGGGTTTAGGGCTTTTAGGGTTTAGGGTTCGTTTAGGGTGTTCAGGGTTTAGGGTTTAGGGCTTATAGGGTCTAGGGTTCGTTTAGGGTGTTCAGGGTTTAGGGCCTCTAGGGTTTAGGGTTCAGGCTTTAGGGTTTAGGTTTTCCTTCTGGCCACCCGCCTCGCTGATCTGTCCTAAGGTTCTGGGCTTAGGGTGTCGGGTTTAGGGGTTCGTGATTTTTCGGCTTCAGGATTCTTAGGGGTTTAGGGTTAGGGTTTAGGGTTTAGGGTTTAGGGTTTAGGGCTTAGGGCTTAGGGCTTAGGGGGTTGCACAATAAATACAAACTGAACCTTCAAGGGGACTGGGAGGTATCCTGACTTCCCTTTTTAGGGTGCTTCCTTCCTTTCATCGCACGGCATCTTGCTTGGCTACCCTAAACCCTAAACCCTAAACCCTAAACCCGAGACCGTGAGGGAAGTCATCACTGGATGACTAAGTCAGGATGGAAGAGCACTGGTCGCGGGTGTACGGGTTATTGCCGGCTGCCCAACGACTCCAAAAGGCCATAAGGGTACTACCGGGCGTGCTTGATTCAACGTACGCGGGCTCCGCTGTTTTGCGCTAGGCCCCACAAAAAAAGAATAATCTCTATTACTATACGCTTATAGGGAAGAAGAAGCTTTTTTTTGCGGGCGTGTTCTTAAGCAAATAGCAGAAAAAGGTATAAGGTACTTAGCCTCAAAGCTACAAACCCCGAAGCGAGAGAGCTGGATCTCCTCGCGATGCCCCATGCGCCCAGGAACGGATGGCAGCGCGCACCCGCAGGCCAGGTCCAAAACCTGGGGGGGGGGGGGGGGGAGCCCTAAACCCTAAACCCTAATAGGGTTTAGGGGTTAGGGTTTAGGGTAAACCCTAAAACCTGGGGGGAGCGAAGCGGGGGAAGCGGAGCGGGGGAGCGAAGCTGCTGCTTTCTTAAGAACACCAAACAACAAGAGATAACTATCCCCATATTGTATACCCTTATGAGGAACAAAAACTGAAAAACATTAATCCCTATATTACCCTTATTATACAAGGAAGGACTTCTTTAATGTTCATTCATTTGTTGTTTCTTGGGGGGGCTTGTCAAGAAAATAGTAGGAAGGGAGGAATGATTCCTCGGGAGACCCCGGCGCCCCTGCAATGATGGCATAATGATACAGCAAAGTAAGAACTTTAAGTAGTATCAGACTAAATAACGCAAGACAGAAACATCATACAAGGAAGATTATGAGACGTGGTATGACACAATGTAAGACTTCAAAGATTGGAAGTAGCACGATAATCATGAGAAGTGTAGTATCATACTCATCCCTTCTACTTCTACTACTTCTACTACTTCTACTACTTCTACTACTTCTACTACTTCTACTACTTCTACTACTACTACTACTACTACTACTACTACTACTACTACTACTACTACTACTACTACTACTACTACTACTACTACTACTACTACTACTACTACTACTACTACTACTACTACTACTACTACTACTACTACTACTACTACTATACTACTACTACTACTACTACTACTACTACTACTACTACTACTACTACTACTACTACTACTACTACTACTACTACTACTGCTACTACTACTCCTACTACTACTACTACTACTACTACTACTACTACTACTACTACTACTACTACTACTACTACTACTACTACTACTGCTACTGCTACTGCTGCTACTACTACTACTACTACTACCACCACCACTACTGCTACTACTACTACTACTACTACTACTACTACTACTACTACTACTACTACTACTACTACTACTCCTTCTACTACTTCTACAACTTCTACTACTTCTACTACTTCTACTACTTCTACCACTACTAAGAATGAAATTTCATGATCCTAATACAAAAAACAAGAAAAAACCCAAAGCCCTCCCTAAACCCTAAACCCTAAACCCTAAACTCTACAGAAGCTCCGAGATGCCACTCGGCCACAGGCCAGGCCAGGCTTTGCCAAGAGGACCTCGCTTTGTGGTTGAGGGTTTCGGGTTTAGGGTTTAGTTTAGAGTTTAGGGTTCAGGGGGTTACTATGTTGCAAATGTATTGTATGACTGTATGATTACTACATTGCGGTTTTAATGGTGTAATGAGGGGTTCCTGCGTGAATATATTCGTATATCGTTCTAGCACCGTGTGTTTGTAACATTACCATAACGCATTGTTACATTATTATACAACTACTGGGTTTTGGGTTTAAGGCTTCCGGTTTATGAGGTCGTCAGTCTGATCGTTTGTGACGACCCTCGTGCAAAGGGTCACCCAGAAGAGGGAGGAGGTACCTCTTGGCTTGTGGCTCAACATCACAAGTTGAATTTCTGGGCCCGTGCGGGCACAAGCGTCTTTTTGTGTTTCTGGCATCCATCAGTTGGGGTCTTTCGTGTTTGGGCAAGTGAAACGGCCCCGCTGAGGCCGGACATGATGGCTCCCCGGTTGGCGCCAGAAAAACGAATTAACAGCGGGCACATGGCTCGGAACAGGATTGGGGGTCTTTCGCCTTGGCCCTCCTGCCCGAGTTGCATCTAATCGTTGAGGCAGTCACTAAAGCTAGCCGTAGGCCTGTTCCCTTGCAGGCAAGTGAAACGTTCAGCAGTCATGGCGCGCGACCATTCCGCACAATGCTGCTTTGCACAGCTGACAAATCTACCAACAAAAGATTTGTGGAGGGGTGGCGGGTCAACCTGTCTACATTCCAGCTGCCCATCTGTCACGACCTCTGTATCAAACTCTAACCACTACGTGTCTTCCACACCTCCAGCTCGTGGGTGAAGCCTAGGCTCCGCCCTCTCATGAGGCCTGGGCAGTGAGGTATTCGACCTTTGCTGCACGCGAAGCGAAGACACCTCTGCCTCCCTGAGCTCCATTGAGGCCCAAGGCATGTCCTAAACCCTAAACCCCTAAACCCCTAAACCCCTAAACCCCTAAACCCCTAAACCCTAAACCCCTAAATCCCTAAACCCTAAACCCTAAACCCTGCCCCCAAAACCCTAACCCTAAACCCTACACCCGATTCCCTAAACCCGAAGCCCTTCCCTCCGAGGGGCAGCTCGCTCCAGGTTGCCGCTGCAACCATCGAGGGCATCCCGGGCCTGGACTTCAGTGAAGCCCATGCCCATCAGCTGATCCACCTTCCTCGGGCACGCAGTATAGGGTTTAGGGTTTAGATGGGTTTAGGGTTACTCCGGTTATTCATATAGGGGCCTAAGTAGTTACAATAGGATTTTTTGGGGGTTATTCTGGTATTTCTTTTAAGGGACCATAAGGGAATACGATTCGCAATTGTTCCGACCCCTAAGTAGGCGTTTTCCGGCCAGCCAAAACAAGGAGCTCATTTGGGGGCTTACGAAAGTAAGGGACCCCCTGATATAGCCCCGCGATGAGTAGGATCCCAATAAGGTAGCCCCTAATCTCGGAAACCGCCCATTTGAGCTTGACAGCCCGCCAACGGCGCGTGGACGAAAGCCCCGCCCAGCTGAAAAAAAAAACACATGCGTTGACAGAGAAATGGGGGCTTCCTAAGTAGGGGTTGCATTTTGGGGGTTACTGCAAAAAGAATTGTAACATTTTGGGAGGTATATCAAGAGTACCCCCTATTCGGGGAAGTGCCCAAAATTGTGGTCGCGGAGGTTTTCCACGCCTGGTGACCTCTCATCTGACCTGGTGATGGAGTCACGAGCCGCAGGGCCCCGGACTTTCGGCGATAGGGGTGTAGGGTTTAGGGTTTGAGGTTTAGGGTGACATGTCGTGCATGTATGTCATCCCTGGCATGTCCTTGCGGTCTATGCCCCTTTTAGTCCCCCTCCCCCCCCCAGCGAGGGCGTGGGCCTCTTAGTTTTTTAACTAAACTCTTCTCCTCTGCCGGTCCACTCCCCGCCCATCTCCTGAATCCCCCATCGCCAGAGTATCCCCACAAAATCACACAACCCCTCCAATCGCTGGAGTGCCGAACCCCTAGAGCATCCCCAGAGAACCCCTGGAGTTCCCAGCCCCAGACGATCCCACAGAATCCATGGCTGCCAACCCCAGTACACCGCCCCACACACTGCCACAAATCTGTCGGGTGGGGGGATGTTCGAAGTAAGTTGGGGGTTTAGGAGCATAGGGGACCCCTGGAAATAGACTCACAAATTGTAGGATTTTTAATAAGGACCCCAACAAGGTACCCCTCATTTCGGAAACCCTAAACCCTAAACCCTAAACCCCAGTTGTTTTTGTAAAAGCCCCCTTGCCACCGAGCCACTCCGCAAACGGATCGACCTCCCGAAGGCAGCAGAAAAGGCGGTGGAGGCCAGGTGAGGTCTCTACTCTCTGCATCTTGGGTTGAAAACCCTAAACCCTAAACCCTAAACCCTAAACCCTAAACCTTCAAGCCCCCTGTAACTTGAAATTATTAAGAAAATCCAAAAACAGAAACTCCTTGAAACTCCTTGAAACTCCTCGAAACTTTCCTCGAAACTTTCCTCGAAACTTCCCCGGACCTGAACCCTTAATAATTTCAATAAACCCTAAACCCTAAACCCAGTTTCCCTTTGGAGCCAACCCCGAGGGCCCCCCCCCCCCCCCTCCCCCCCAGCAGGGGCCTTGAAGGCTATGGCCACCCCTCAACCCTTTCTGTGGAATGCAAAACGAGAGGGTTAGGGTTTAGGGTTTAGGGATTTTTAGGGTTTAGGGTTTAGGGTTTAGGGCTTAGGGTTTAGGGTCAGGGGGCCAACAGAACGCGATACCCCCTTGGAAGCCCAATACCACCCAGCAGGGAATATACCTGAAACTCTAGTCTTTATAGGGGTCCTGATTGTAACGTTTTGAATGTTTTCAGGGATGAAACCTCTTGGGCTCACTGGGCCCCTCTAGCCACTCACTCTTACGAAATCCTGTTTGAAAAACAGGCGCCGTGCCCTTGCATTTCAGGGTCCTCTAGCCCGGCATGATGTATCGTTCTTGCGTTCAGCTGTGGCATCGAAAAACTTTGCAGCTTTCTGAACACTACACACTTTACATGCCTCAAAGTGCGCCTCCGCCGGGGGTGGCGGTGGCGGCGGAATCGGTGACTGGGGAGAGCCGACATCATCGACCGCACCAGCCCTGCATACACTGAAGCAACTTCTGCGGAACCAGTATGGCGAAAAGAGCCAATGCGCCCTTACGACTGCATGTCGCGGTGAGAACGCACAAGCAAGCTAAGCCGACATCCTTGATTGAACGCGGCCCCCCCCCATGCAGACACTTCAGCTAAGGCTGGCGCGACAGCAGCAGCTGCATGGCTTGATCCAAGTTTCCTGAGAGCCGGTACAGGACCCACATCTGCAGATGCTGTGCTGTGGACAGCCTGATTCGCGACGCACACTGCTGGGCTTGTGACTGCAAGGACTCCAGCGGCTGTGCCTCGCCACTGCGATCCAAGGTGCCATTGCACGCCTCAAGCGCGTTTCTCGCCTCAACTTCCTGGAAGCCCATGTCCTGCACTGCCAAGGCTGAAACAAGTCCCGGAAAGCACGAGGACAGCAGAGCATCGTACTGCAGCGTCTCTTAGGGTTTAGGGTTTAGGGTTTAGGGTTCCAGGCCTTCAGGGTCTTGACAGCCTCTGGCGACACCCTGGCAGGTTTAGTACCTTACGGAGAAACAGCTTCCGTCCATGCTTTGGGATGCTCCCCCTTACACGAAGAGTCCTTAATAGGGATTACAGTGCCCCCTATCATAATCCCTACTAAGGACTGTTATGACAATAGTATAAGGCCTTAATAGGGATTATCCCTAGCATCATCCCTAATCATTAAGGACTCTTAGTATATGGAGGAACATCCCCAAATTGCTCTACTTAAGCCCTCAGAGTGGGCGTGTTCTACCAATTGCTTGGGAACCCCAAAAAACTTGAAAAAACATTCTTCCTTATCAGGTTAGCATAGTGATGACTGTTTTCTTTTTTTAGGTGGGCTCTTAAGCACATAGTAGTCCTAAACCCTAAGCCCTAATAAGGTTAATCTAGTGTTTGCAACAACTTTGCAAACCCTAAACCCTAAACCCTAAACCCTAAACAGATCTCCAATTGCCATCCTGGGGCCGGCCCCAGGTGGCACCAGGTCTGGAACAATGTCCCTGTACTCATCTGCTCCTGCAGGTTTAGGGTTTAGGGTTTAGGGTTTAGGGTTTAGGGTTTAGGGTTTGGGGTTTGGGGTTTGGGGTTTGGGGTTTGGGGTTTGTGGTTTGGGGTGTAGGGTTTAGGGTATCTGCTCCTGCAATAGACCGCGATTTGCATCAGCTAAGTGCTCTAGGGTGTGAGCTGGTGCACACGTGTCTGCCAAAAAACGAAGCTGAGTTCTCCTGTGGCCTCTCCACCTTACGGGAAGCACGTGCGTGGAACACTCGGGAGGGTTGCAGTGACTGCAAAAGTCTGGCAAAGAATCATATTTTGAGGTTTTCTCCGCCGTTCTTGCAGCGAAGCTGCAGCAGGTGTCCGACAGGCTCTTGGCCATATCTGACATCGCCTGCACAAAACGTCTGCCACATTCGCTCTTGCGTATGATGTGTGATGAGGCTATACTCCCCTTAGAACCTTAATAAAAATAGTACTTTTTAATATCCCCTTGGGCTTTATATAAACAAACATAAAGAAGAAATCCCAAGGGGGATATAGTGATGAAGCCCGGCGCTCGGCCTGTCCCATGGCGCAAACTTGTTAAGGTACGGTGAAGGAGCCGGGGAAAACCGAGGGGGTATCGAGCCAAAAGACTTGCGGCGCAGTGAGAGATGCATGCCTAAGGCCTAAGCTTCCTTGCATGTGGGCATGCTGGGGCCACTACACTTAGTTGTCCAGTATCCTGGGGGGAACTGAAGGTTAACCTTCCTTTAGGCTTATAAGGGGATTCTAGTACCCAACAAAGGTTAAAGGTTGCCCACTCTACTACTAGGTACAGAAGTGATCCTTCATCTCAGGACACTCCCCGGAATCAGTAAGTCATTAGAGCCAGCTTGCGGACTTCTACCAGCTGCGAGGCCGACGCCCAGCACGCCCAGCACGCTCAGCACAGCACCGCAACCAAACCACCTGTTAAGCAGGAACTGGTCTTCACCTAACTCTGAAGGCTCAAGCGCCACCCAACCCAAGCAAGCCAAGTCCCAGAATAACCCTAAACCCTAAACCCTAAACCCTCAACCCTAAACCCTCAACCCTAAACCCTAAACCCTAAACCCTAAACCCTAAAGTGCGTGCCGGGCCGCATCAGCCAGGCACACGTCGCAGGCCCAGAGACGGAGTCCATCCGGCAAGGAGGCCTTCTCCTGGGCTGCCCGGGTTGCACAAGGAAGGTTTAGGGTTTAGGGTTTAGGGTTTGGGGTTTGGGGTTTAGGGTTTAGGGTTTAGGGTTTAGGGCTTAGGGCTTAGGGCTTAGGGGTCGGGATAATTACTAATCGTATTCCCGTATGGTCCCTATATGTCCCTATAGAAATATGACACTGAATCTACAGTGTGCCCGGTCAGAAGTCCAGGATCGTGGGCTTTGGGTCACAGGGGCTTTGGTTAGCCGGCACCCTGCCGCATGGGCCGAGACAAATTGACAGCCTTCTGCATGTTGCCGTGGACCTTCCTCGAAACAAAGCCGTCAACCTCTGACGATAAGATCATGCAACCGGCGCTGGTTGTAAAATTTCATTCTTGGGGGTGGGGTAGATCCGGGACCCTGAACCCTGAAGGGTGCCTCGGTTCACAGCAGCCCGGTTCCTATAAACCCTAAACCCTAAACCCTAAACCCTAAACCCTAAACCCTAAACCCTAAACCCTAAACCCTAACCCTAAACCCTAAACCCTGAAGGGCGCTTGCGGCCTTGGGCTTGCGAGGCTCTGGGTGGCGACCCACGATGGCTTCCGGCGAAAGCCATGTGCCACCAGGATGGCGCAGATGGATCTGCAGCTCCTTTGGGGTGGCTCTAGTAGATCATAATGTGGGACTCCAATACAAATATATGTAGTCATCCATGTAATCATGTACAATGAACTATATACTCGTTTTAATGTATATAAAAAATATGTGTGTGTGTGTGTGTGCGTGCATATATATGTATATATGTATATATACATATGTACATATATATATAAGATTTACATCTTGTGTTTAGGGCTGGATGCCCAAATATGAAGGGGTTGTCTGTTAGTTGCTGCAAGGGCCAAGGGTTTTTGGGTGCTGTGAACCTCCAAAGTACAGAATCATCTAGCTTCGGCGTGCGCTTCGTTGGAGTAATTTGCATAGGAGGTGCATGCAGGAACCCAAAACTCCGCAACACACAACTCGCGCCTTTGGCGTACAGAAGCGAGTGTGCATTGCCCATAAAAACGGATGGACTTGCAGCCAAAGCTCCACCGGCATCTGCTGTGATGTTTGCTCCGACCCTGTCTCGACATCCAAGTCTCCTGTGCTTTCATACGTCCCCATAGTGCGACTAAAGACTTGAGGTGGCTGGATCTCCAGATGGTGTAGGGAAGTCAAGAGAGTCTAAGAACGACTAGGATAACCTACTTATTCGGGCCCCTTGTTGGGTCTTCCTCTTCAGGGGGAGGGATTACAGGGCACTGGCATCAGGAGTCGCGCGAAAAAGAGGCCTGAACCAACAGGCAGGCATCTAAATCCGGTGCCCAAACCCCTCAGGAAGTGCTGAAGAAAGCGGAATGGAAGCTTCTTTCACCTGATGCTCCAGGACCGGGCGTAACTAAACCCCTTAAGCCCCTAAGCTTCTCTGGAACCTTAATCTTTTGGCTTGAAAATCCTTCAAGGCCGTGCGCGCAGACTTCGCGCGCATACCCTGCCTGGTGGAGCCAGACGCTGCAACACCGATAGTCCCGACGAAGGGTTTCAAGGCAAGCTCCAACTCTGCAACCCCAAGCCCCCTAAACCCTAAACCCTAAACCCTAAACCCTAAACCCTAAACCCACCTCATAAGCACGCACGCAAGCGGCCGTCCGCATCCAGGCGCACCGCGCGACGGGGCTCTCGCAGGACCGACAGCAACGAGGAACGCTGAACTCGCATCCTGGAGCCAGGGTGGCCCGTAAAAGGGTTTAGGATTTAGGGGATTTTTTTCCCCACCCGTTTCGCAAGCGTATACGGATTTAGGGTTTAGGGTTTAGGGTTTATAGGCAAGGTGTTCCCAAAACCCTAGACCCTAAAACCCTCTGGAAAATAATCCTGCTAATTTATGCTCCTCTTCAACCCAATGAGGAAAAGAATGAATATCCCAAGGCATGTTCAATGCAGGACAGGATTAGGTTTGGGGCTGAGGGTTCAACGAACATGTGCCCTACCAAGGCCCTTTAGTTGCGTGCTCCTGCCAAGGACAACCCCTCGCAAGCACGACATTGAAGAGGCCATCACTAACCTGAACTCATGGACGATGGCAACTCCTATCCCAAATCCCGAAGCCTTTCACCCTCCTCACTCCTTTCGCTGCGCATGGTGCTCTCCTTTTTCGGGAGACTATACGATGACGACCTGCGGGAGGCGGTGGGGGCGATCAGCTGTGGGATTTCCTGCATGTTTTTACCCAGCCTACTCTCAAGCTTAACATCAAACGCTGCCCAGGCCAATGGGTGTATGGAAGGGTTTGGGTTTTTAAGGCTTAGGGTCTAGAGTTGGGCTTTACCTAAGGAAAGCCTACACCAACAAAGAAAGACTAGAGAGTTAGGTAAAAACGTACCCTTTCGCAAACGGGATATGACGGGATATAGGGTACCGCTAGAGGCCCCAGAAGGGAGATCCAATCCAACATAGCTTACTCCAGGGCCTGGGTTTAGGGTAAGAGTTTCGAGTAACCAACAGAGCTTACTCTAGGTAAGGCTGCGGGTTTGAGGTTGCGGCTGGTAAGTTACACCGGCTAGAGGGTGAACCCCGCACCGAGACTAGCCCGCCCTCCCTCCCCCCTCCCTTCCCCACCCCCCCTTTCGCCATGCCTTGGCTAGAACCCCAAACCCTAAACCCTAAACCCTAAAAACCCTACTAAAGCGCCTTGACACCTTTCAAATCCCCACATCTTGCAGACCCGAGTGCTCTGGATCAAGAGGGAAGTGCTCCAGCGTGACAGGAGTTTGCACCAGCTCGTCTACCTTGACCCTAAACCCTAAACCCTACACCCTAAACCCTTCCCACACCCCGAAAGGCACCACAAACAACCCTGGTAGATCTTTTTACGTAGTCGTACGTATGACTATGTGTTACTTTAACTTATTATAATGCTATGCAAAATGTTGCAAGTCATGATTTTGGACTGTACTATGCCAGATTATGTTGTATTATATGAGATGACATTTCGTTTCACATGATATATATATATATATCAACATATATTGAAATTCATATTTGCTGGTGGCATATGAAATAACACAGGATACATTTGGGATACTATCTAGAATGTAGAATCTAGATATGCAATCATATTTTACGGTGGTATGTGTGTATCTGCATACATACATACATACATGCATACATACATACATTCATACATACATACATTCATACATATGTGTGTGTGCGTGTATTTGTATATATGCATATACATACATATGTATATATGTATATGTATACATACTCTGTATACATACTGTATATTAGTATACATTGGTATATCTCAAGTAGTACAATTTCTGCAGTTATACATCACAATGCTGCCGTTTTTTACATTCTCGTCTATCATGTGTACAAGTATCTATACTGTTGCATTGTTCAAACATACTTCACATTCGGTGCTCCAGATACGTGCATGGTATTAGATCATATTACATCTCCTTTCAAAACTTGTCGCATTTTTCTCTTGATCTAGCACATGACTATACCCACGATCGTATATCCTTGTACATCATTTATCTACATACCGACAGACCATTCTACAACATTATATGCCTTCATAGCTAGTATCCATTATTACACCTATTGAATGCTGTGCTATATGAAGTAGGCTTTACTATTTCTTGTACCCCCAAAAGGACACCCAAGGTATACACTCACCAAGACTAAAAAGGAACCTTATATACACTCACCAAAAACAGTACTATAAACCCTGCTTCATATCTTGCACTAAGCTGCGCTGAACCCTCAACCTCGAAAGCCTGAGGCCGGGCTGCCAAGTGGTAGGTGAAACCCGGAGGAGGCCTCCCTTCGGGGTTTGGCCAGGCTCTTAGGGTTTAGGGTTTAGGGTTTAGGGTTTAGGGTTTAGGGTTTAGGGTTTAGGGTTTACGGTTTAGGGTTTAGGGTTTCCCAAGAGAAACCTCCTAGGAATGCAAAAAGGGTGCCCTTCTTGGGTTTCAAGGGTCTTGTAAAGGGGGGGAACAAGGGCCCCAGTCTCTGGGTCCGAGTTGGGTGTCATAAGGCTCGGGGACCTGGGGATGCTAGATTCCTTCGGACTCGGATCTCTAACTTTCATGTGGGTGGTTGTCAAAAGTATGATCCCCTTTTTTGGGGTGCCCTAAATATGGGGTGCCCTTTTGTTAGAGGGGTCCAAAAAGGGACCATCATGTTGACAGCCACCCATGTGATTCAAGACAGGTGTGGTGGAGTCGCTGGGGGTAAGTTTGCTCGGCTTGGGGAGGGGGGGGGGGGGGGGGGGGGGGGGCAAGTCTAAGCATGTAGGGTTTGGGGCTGAGGGTTTTGCACATCCGCAGTTCGGACCCTCAAGAAATCCGGGATGGCTGGAGCCAGAACAGGCAGGATGAGGGTTTATTGACGAGAGGCCACGGTTTCCAGGCATGTTCTTAACTCATAAAGTGGACTGTAGTTGAGGCCCTAAACCCTAAACCCTAAACCCTAAACCACCCGGAAACCCCCCAACCCCTCACCCCAAGCCTGCCGACATGAACGCAAAGTGGAGCAGACGCCGTGGCAGCGCAGAGGTGTTGCCAGCACCCCGGTGGACGACATGGCCGTCCTTGCAGCTTCGGCAGCTTCTGTTTAGGGCTTAGGGTTTATTAGGGTTTAGGAGGGTTTAGGGTTTAGGGTTTAGGGTTTAGGGTTTAGGGTTTAGGGTAACCCGTAGCCAACCTAAGAACGATCTGGAACCCTCTGCTTACCAAGTTTCTACCGGTTCTAATAAGGTCATACAGGGTTCAGGGTTTAGGACAGGAGCTTTCACTTCGACAATAGAACAGGCCACTGTCGGCAACTTGTTTAGGGTTTACCAGCACAAAGCCTGTGAAACGCCTGCTTTGCAAGGTTCAGCAAGGCCACCAAGATCGCAAGAGCCCCGGCGTCCAGTGTCAACGACTGCCTTCCGAGGAACTTCCGAGACACTCGCACATGGGTTCGGTGTTGAAAGGCGCCTCGAACTGATTGGGCGTTTTGGGTGCAATTGCCGGATAAAATCTGGGCTGCGGGTTTGCTACCCAAAGACTCCCGTGCCTACACTCCTTTAAACTCACCTCGAGTAGGCTCCCAGTGCTAGACCCCCAGAACCACACCCTGAGCCCTGTGCGAACATGTTGCTTCAACATCTGGTAGGGTTGAGGGATAACGGTTCAGGGCCCGACACCCTCAATCCAGGCTGGAACTGTCACCCATACTCCCCTTAGAACCTGAAAAAATGAACTTTTTAACATTTTATTGGGTGTTATATAAACAAAAATTAAAGGAAAATCCCAAGGGGGATATAGTCACCGCGCCTCGCCAGGTGATCCGAGCGCTGCCCAGCCTGCGAAAGTTTCGGTTAGAGGCTTCGGGCTGTTGAGGATTTCAGGGATTCTGCCGGTTTGCTTAACCCTAAACCCTAAACCCTAAACCCTAAACCCTGAACCCTGAACCCTAAACCCCCTCATGCATGGGATCTTGCATCCTGAGATCCATCTGTGCATATGCAATGCCATGTCAAGCTGCCTCTGCAAGCACTTTCCCCCCTTGTACGGGCGTGGCTTAGTACAGTGTACCCCTTTACATGCGGAATACTTAAGCGCACAATTATGGGAAAGCTGATTAAGATGTTTCTTAAGAGTTGTTATTGTTGGGATAGTAGGATTAAGGGTCCAGAAGCAGTAGTCACATCACTCCCAAATGTGGATTGTCATCCCCAACTTACCTCTTGTATGATATGCCCATGTGCAAGTGCAAGGGCTCACTCTCCCGAACGAACCATTCGCATGGTATGGCGTCCCGGAGCAGTTTAGACCTAGACGCAAATACTTGTCCAAGTCGTCTAGGTTTGGCATTATCACTGCATACGGAGAGAGTGACTCCTCGACACATCCGATCATCGACAGAAACTGAAAACCCTCAAAAGAATTCCAGTGTGGCCCGCGCTACACACCCTAAATCCTAAACGCTAAACCCTAAACCCGAAACCCTAAACCCTAAACCCACCGCATGCACGTGTAGCACGGCCAGCGTCGACACACCATGCTCTGGGGGATCCCAGGGCCAGGAGCCTGCTGCCATGAGCGATGGAAGTCGCGCGTGTGGGAGCCCACCAGCACCTGGGACTCCAGGGTTGCATTAGTATGTATATGAATATAGATCTCTCTCTCTGCCGCTGCATCCCAAAGGTCCCACCACGTATTCATATAGATATATGTGTATATTTACATTTCTTAGAATATAAATATATAGATATATTTATATATGTACCTACACATATGGCACAAGCCTGGGGAGAAGCAGGCTTTAGGCCCTTTAGGCTTATCGGGAGTGGACCATTCCATACTGGACCTTTTGGCTTACAGGGGATTGTAAGGGAACCTGAATCTCAAAAACTGGAGAAAGCAAAAACTGCCTACTTTGGGTGCTGGGCTCAGTGTTTTTTGGCATCCGGGAATGGAGCGGGACAGCTAATGAGCAGAGCACTGCAGCACCACACCAGGACACAGCAAAGACCTCCTTAAATCCACCTCTGCACTTTGGACAACTGGATTCCGCCTCTGTCGGCCCCATGTTCTCTGAGACGTCCTGGAGAGCCACAAAGGCCTTGCGACAGGTTTCGGGAGGGGGGGGGGGGGGGGGGGGGGTTTAGGGGTTTGGGATGTAGGGTTTAGAGCTTAGCGTGTTTAGGGGGTTTCGACTCTCACGCTCGGCAAGACACACGATCTCTTGGTCCGAAAGACTTAGAGTTTATAGTGGTAGTGTTTAGGGGTTAGGATTTTGGAGCGAAGCCTGTGCGAGTTTCAAGTTGGTCCCGACATCATTGCTTTACAAACCATTGTTCTCCTTTTGAAAAAACTTGACCTGGTGTGTGAGCATTAGGTCAAAAGTCAAAACCACACCCGACAAAAAGGCGCCACAACTCCTCCCTAGAGGCGACTTCGTGAGCTGATGGGCACAAACTTGCGCATCTTGTTTCGCATCTGCTCCCTGCTTAGAAGCCGGCGGAAAACTGTCATGGCTCCAAGAGCCGTGCACAGCACAGCTTGAACAACTTTGTTCTGAGATGTTCGATGCCTGAGGCAAAACAACCTTGCCATGCCAAGCAGAAAACCTACGATCTGGGGAGCTGTTCTGTAGCACTTCTGCGGACCTCAAGATAATTCGAGCTAGACTAGGTTGGTCCCTTGAAGCCTCAAAAGAGTATTCCTGAATGTGATCCTGCTAAACCCAAGAAAGGAAAGTGGAAGATACCCCAAGGGCCTACCCAGTGGAATGCACAGCCGCGCTTGGCACTCAGCCCACGACCTCCTCGCCCACGCCAACTGAAATCTTGGCAGCCTTCTTTCGTAGCCGGTCGACGACACGCCCCTTGGTCTGTGCCATGACGCTGGCCGGTCGCCCCTGCTCCTTTCGAAGCCGGCGAAGATACTTGAATATGGGGATGATCTCTTTCTCGCGGTTCTGGTTGCGGTCCTAGGTTGCCCAGACACCTAGGAATACATAGGGTGCTCCCTTTATTGCTTCTGAAGGGGTTGATAAGGTGGTGACCTACTAGACCCCCACAAAAAAGGAATAAGGGCACCAATTACCTGAACAATCCAAGGGTCCGGATGGTACTCCATCATGAGCCTCTTCAGCGCCTTGGTTAGGGCCTCCTTTCCTTGATTCGTGGCCGTCTGCAACTCCTCATCCACTGCCTTCAGCATGTCCAGAGGCTGCTCGGCCTCCTCCAGCGCGCGCAGGGCTTCCTCCCGGGCGGGCACATTCTTGGAGATCTGCAGGTCCCCGCCCCGCTGATCGCCCCCCAGTTCGTCAGGGTTGATGGGCGTGGCGGCCATCAAAGCCCTGAGGATGTCGCGCATGGCCTCCGGATCAGTCACAGCTTCATCCGAGATCGGCCCTTCTCGCCTCTTTCCTCCAAGCAGGACGGATTGCGCACCTCGGAGGCTTCGCACCTCGGCCTCTGGATTCACCATCGTGGTGCGATGGAATACACGTAGTCCGCTGATGAGGGGCAGCGACTGGGTGCCAGGTGCGGGAAGATGTGCCAGGCCCATGTTGTCAATCAGCGCAAGGTCACCCCTGTCCCACTCGACTCGCAGAATGCTTTGGCTCCGGGTTTCTGGGTCCATGCCGTCAATGGCCTTCTGCAGGCAGTCCTGCACAGGTAAAGCCGGCAAAAACCGAAATTGCGACGGGCAGTTGTCGTCCGGCCCAGCAAGGACGCGCTGAAGGGAGGAGCGCGCGTCGTTCACGAGCTTGTCTCCGCGGGTCATCACATTAGCGAAAGCTTCCAGCATTGCATTCAAGGGCTGCTCCTCCACAAAGCCCAAGCAATAGGTCTGACCTAAGTGGAAACACATCGTCTTCACTCCGGTGAAGGGGTGCTTGTACACCAATGGCAAGAGAGACATCTGCCCTTCGCCCTGCTGCAGGTCCTCGCCAACACCAGACACAAACCACAGGCGCTCACAAAGATCGCGCAAGTCCTCGTCCATTGACTCCAGAAGCTCATTCAGGCCCAAAAACAAGGTGTCCCCATCAGGTATGGCATGCAAATGGTGCATCGTCTGCGCTGCAAAGGGCGCTTGCAGCATCACGCCGTCCACGTGCCAGCCACTGGTGCCCACGGACATGAAGCCTTCACGGTCGTCGTTGGCCACACGGAGTAGCCGAGGATCTGGCGACTTCGGGTGCGGCCGATGGAGGATGTGCTCCAAAGAGCCTAGATGCTCACTCAACTTGATGTGGTCTTCCGGCATCAGGTCCGTCTGCCCATGGAAGATCAAGAGTCGGTATTTGTACATGTCTGAGCGGATTTGCTCCATCACCGCGGCGTCATCCAGCGCATCTTTGACACTGAAGCCCCGCACTGAGGCGCCGAACGCGCAGCCTTCCCGTGGGACGACCTCATACCGGTTGGAGGCAGCTGCCACCTGCACGACCTCTGCCCCTCGCCTGCCACTAAGAACACGTGGCTTCTTGCATGCCCGCAGGCGCACCCCAACACATGCGGTGAGCGCTGTTAGTGTGGCTGCCGCGCTGGCAGCTGTGAAGGACTGCAGTGCCGCATTGCTACGTCTTGGAGTTGTAGCTGCTGTCCTCGTCAGTGACGGAGATTTTGGTAGCGAAAAGGTCCCAACCCGCTGCATGCTCTACCTTCAGCAGACCACGCGATGCCATTCCATTGCAAAGGCGCGGGTATTGAACCAAAGTTGCTTTCCAGCTTCAGGGTCTGTACATGGTCTCTTGATGATCCCCTTTTGGGACAATCGGGGGGGTGGGGGGTCTCACAGCCCCTTGTATTTCGGGGAGTTTTGAGGCGAAGGAATTGAGGACCCACTCGTGACCTCCCAAGAAATCATGGAAGGCCACCTGAAGAACCCCAACGTGTGATGTGTGTGGATCTCTAAACAAGGCTTCCTTTTTGTATCCTTTTTTGGTTCTTTACATGTGTATTTATATATGTATATATATATATATATATATATTATACGCGTCTATCTATTTATTTGCTTTGTTTATCTATTATACTGTATACACATAGTACGGCACTGTTGAAAAGAACCCAAAATACCTAGGTCAGAAAAGACCCATGTGCAGGCCTACGAAGAAGGAAGCCTATAAAACCCTATAAACCCTGTAAACCCTAAACCCTGAACCCTGAACCCTAAACCTAAACCCTAAACCCTAAACCCTAAACAGCAGAAGCCGGCCTGAAGGATCCGGGCACCGCCCCCGTCGTCAAAGTCCACATCGGCATGCCAGGGCTGAGGTGGAGCCCCTCCGAAACACACAGCTTCTGCTGTTTAGGGTTTTGGGTTTTGGGTTTGGGGTTTGGGGTTTAGGGTTTATAGGGTTTGTTCAGGGTTTAGGGCTTTTAGGATGTTGGTGGGCTGCGAATGCCAGTTTACCTGACTCCTGAAGAGGCCCGCGCCGGGTGGAATTGCTAAGGCATGTTGCTGGGTTTAGGGTTTAGGATTTAGGGGTTTAGGGTTTAGATCCCTGTGTACAGATCATAGACGCTGTACCTTGACCTACAGCAGCTCTCGTACCCATCTCGCCTGGGCAGGCAACCACAGCGCCCAGCTCAACGAGTCTCGCGGTGTCCCCGAGGAAAACCTCCGCTCCAAAGCAACGACAACACCAAGGTGGTGGTACTCGGCCCGTGCAAAGAGTGGCAAACACCAATGAAGCCGGATGGCTCGAAACAACCAGCCGTGTTCCTGGATCACAGTGTTCAGAAGCTGCACCACTGTGGCCGTCAGCGGCAACTTGACGTCGTGTCGAAGTCGGGCCTCATGGATGGGTGCCAGCCATTCCGTGGCCTGAGCTCACGACCCAAGGGGTTTCGGGTTTAGGGTTTCCGAAATCAGCTGGCACCGACAGCTCCACCAGCAACACCGCAACATCACAAGACTCTGCGCCCAAAAAGTGTTGAAGAACTTGCGTCACATCTCACGAGAACAACGCAGCTTTGCCCTTGCACGATGCGTTCTTCAAGGGCGAACTAATGCTTCAAACCATACAGTAGGACCTTTTAGGCAAATCTTGGGCCAAAAGGCTTGAGTCAGAAACACATCGGACCCTAAACCCTCAACCCTAAACTTAGCCCCTAAACCCTAAACCCTGAACCCGAAACCCTAAATCCGGCCTGTTCCGCGCCACCAGCTCCTACGGCCGAGCTGATCTGGTCCACCTCCGCGGCAACCTGTCCGGGCAACACCTGGGCAGGTTGAGGGTTTAGGGTTTAGGGTTTGGGGTTTAATGCTGGGGGGGCTGCTAGGTTGGCCCCTTGAACCCTCTGAAACATATTCGTGGATCGAATTAATTTGGGAAAAAGACTCCTCAGCTCCTAAAATATGATCTTCTTAAACCCAACATGGGGAAACAGAGCATCTCCCAAAGGCCTACCCAGGCTTTCGCGGTTCAGGTGGGTGTGTTTTGGGCACGTCCTTGGCTGACGCGCGTCGGTTCCTGTGGGCTTTAGTCCCCAAACAGTGTGCCAACACTAGGGGCTCTTACGTCCTAAACCTAAGCCCTAAACCCTAAACCCTAACCCTAAACCCTAAACCCTAAACCCCAAACCCTAAACCCCAAACCCCTCCAACGAAATGAGGAAGAGGCAACAAGCGTCGGCTATCAGGTATCAAGCGCTTGGGATTCTCCGACCCAAAGGTAGCTAACCCTCGAAATCCTGATATGGGGGGCCTCTTGGGCTCAGGGTTCAATCGGTTTAGGGTTTAGGGTTCAGGGTTCGGGGTTCAGGGTTTAGGGTTTAGGGTTTAAGGGCTCGCCAGGCGCAGCACACACAGACCAGTACAGTATCCTTATCTGACAGCCTTATTGGGCCAATGGTGGTAGGTTTTCTGCTGCATGATCTGAAAACACCCGATCCATCCAAAAGAGTTTAGGGCTTAGGGTTTCGGATATGTTATAGTGCATATGCGATGTAAGGGGTCTTTTTGGGTAGTGTATTTTGTTAAGTATACGGAGGGTTGTAAGAAGATAAGGTCGGTACGATTTCGTTAAGGCGCCAGCATCCTACACTTCCAAGAAGGTCGGGAACCCTACTAAACCTCAAACAAACGAAACTGCTTCAGGAAAACAAAGCTGCAAACCGATGGGAGACATATGGGCTTCGGGAGGTATGCAGGTGTCGATGTTCTGAGGTTTTTGTGAGTTTAGGGCTTGGGTCTTTCAAAACGCTTTCACCTGACTATACTTGTGGTTCTCTTGCATTTGCCGCCAACTCCTTGACCCGATTTTGGCCACGAGGCCGGATGGAGCGGGGCCATCATGCAGAAACCTCAGCCGTGTCTTTAGAACTTCAACGATTGTCACATTGGACAGAAACCCTTTTTGAACCCAGATTAGACAGCAGCAACCCTCCTTTCGAGTCAAGCCTTCAAAGCCTGTTCTTCTTCTTAGGACCCCGGCCCTTCAAAACCCTCTGAAACATCTATGCTCCTCTTGGAGCGAAGGTTTAGGGTTTAGGGCTTAGGGCTTAGGGCTTAGGGTGTAGGGAAAACCTGCCTAGAGCGACCTACTCCTAGCTGCTGCCGGCAGCCTCCGCCGCGGAGGGCCGCCAGCTGGGGATCGGAGGAGAGGCCGCGCGCCACGACGCAGGCCTGAGGTTCGCTGCTTTGGGGCTCATGGGCTTGCATCGCCAAAAGCTGTTTTGGGTTTAGGGTTTAGGGTTTAAGGTTTTGGGTTCAGGGTGCAGGGCCCAAAGCTTCTTCCTGGCAGGGGAATACGATAAGGGGCTGTATAGACTACCTACCAGTACCTTCGATTTCTTGGGTTCATAAGCTCAAACTTCGGATTCCTCTGCTTGCAGGTTTCCGGAACTGCCTCGGAGAAGCCCAAAAACCCTCTCAGAGAGGGTTCAGCAAGCAGGGATTCCCCCAAGCCTCTTTGAAGGCTACATGCCCTTTTTAAGACCCTTTGCAAAACCCTTCTTGACAACCCTTTTTGACAACCCTTTCTATAATCCTACTTAGAACCCTTAAACCTTTGTCAAACCCCTTTCTTTAACCCTTTCTATGACCCTTTTTAGAACCCTTTTTAGAACCTTTTTCAAACCCTTTTCCAGCCTTCCCTGGCCGGTGGTCAGCCGCTTGCAGCCCGCCGCAGATTCCGCAAGGCGCGCGGGCGACCGGGACCACGGCAGTGACGGGTGCTGAGGCCTCCTGGGATCTTAGGACATCTTAAGGGTTTAGGGTTTAGGGTTTAGGGTTGGGGCTCTTAGTTTTTGGTGCTGTAGAGTTGAGGGTTCAGGGTTGAGGGTTTCTCAAGTTTAGGTCTGTTTAACACACATACTCCTTTCTGACCTGTTTCCCTCTTCCTTTGCCCCTTCCTGGGGACGTCCAAGCCCCTGAAAGGCTGTGAGCTGCCCACGAGAGGTCAGACAACCATGGGGGGGGATTCTCTGAAATTGGGGCCCCTTTTGGGGTCACTATTTATACAAAAAAAGGACCCTAACTTTGAGAAATGACCATATGAGGATTCCTGTTCTAATTTCAGGCACCTTACTCGCCTTTCTCTAAGGAGTGGAGTCTCTCTAAAAAAACCCAAACCTTCAAAACCCGGTGCTTCGTTCGCTTCATCGGGCCCCCTAACCTAAGTTCAAAAATCACTGAAGCTGGTAGGCTTTGAGGATGTGCACGAGGGGGTTCTGACCGGGGTCTCGGCTGGGGCTTGTTCAGGGCCGGAGCGGACTTCCATAAGGCCAGCATGATCTCGCTGCTTTGGCATAAAAACCATATGGGAAAGTACATGAAGCAGCAGCTTCCGGTAAGCAACCCTGGCTAGGAGAAGGTAGTAGCTTCAATTGTGCCCCCAGAATCAGTGTCGCTGTCCCAGCTCCGCAACGCAGGAATGATCAGGTTCGCGCCAGGCCTGTCACCGTGCAGGTTCTCGTCAGGACTGGCTCAGCAACAAGTAGTAATAATTTCATTTTAATAATAATAAGAATACTAATAACGATAACGGAAACAGTAATACCATCATTGCTACTACTATCAGTTTCTGCTGCAGAGCTGACTGAGCTGACGGAGACGCGCATTGTCCGACATTTGCAAGACAGTTCGCGAAGACCACTAAGAACGCAAGCCCCAAAATGTCCCAAAGGTCATTAACACCGCGTTGAAGATTGAATCCTGCACAGACCGCCCAAAAAAGACCGACACGTGTGCGTACGCCTCAGGCGATACAGGAGCAGTTTCGGCGCATCGCGCAGCAGCCTTGCCACGTCGCCTTAGCCTGCTGTAGGGCTCTCAGGGTCTGTGAGGATGCCGGGAAGCTTTGGCTTGCGTCCGGGTTTGACGGTTTTTGGGTTTGGGGAGCTCTTACATTGTAGCTTTCTTGCTCTTCGACGAACTGGATACTTGCTCTGCAAAACTTTACATAATGCTTAAACATAAACCCTTCCTGCACTGCTTACTTCCGGCCAGCCTTCTTTCCCTGGTCACCAGCCTGAACCACTCTAAGCCCTAAAGCCATGCGGCTTGCACAGAAAGACACCATGTTTGTTTGCAAACCGAAGTACTCCCGAAGCGCCGATATGAAGACAATGTTATCGTATGTCAAAAGAGGAACGCAAATAAGAAGGAGAGCAAGAAAAAAAATCAGCCCAGTAAGAAAAACAAGATCAACATTTTGGAAGACCGATGTTAAAGCCTAAGCCCTAAACCCTAAACCCTAAACCCTAAACCCTAAACCCTAAACCCCCCCCTAGATGCCTCAAGGGCAACCCGAAAAGCCTCTGTCCGAGGGGCGCCGCGGATGTCCCTGGGGAAGCGCCAAGGCAGGGAGGAGCTCGTCGACAGGGAGGAGGTCCTCAAAGGTTTAGGGGTTTAGGGTTTAGGGTTTGGAGTTTAGGGTGTTTTATTGTTCTGTCATGAAGCATGGAGGCATCAATTCACTGCAGCACCAGCCTTTCGCCATAAATTCTTAAGGACAATGAGGCATCATGGGCTGTGCGCACAATCACGCCGCACAGGGCTCGAGCATGGAGTCCTGGGTTTCCAGAGAGCAAGGATAATTAGGGTTTAGGGTTTAGGGAGTTCCCCTGTGCTTCGTGGAACTCTACGAAGACCAGCAGGGACCCCAGCAAAATCCCCCGGTTTCCCAGGCACCGGGCTGGGTCCTGGTCCTCCGTGGATTCGAGAAGCCGTTCTGCGCCCTCAGCGCGGGCTGGGCGGGGCCCCGGGGTTTAGGGGTTTTTTGGCGCACACCAAGCTGGACGAACCACTCAGCAGGTCTCTGACTATGACTGCATCTCTGTTGCTCAACGGTTTAGGGTTAGGTAGGGTGTAGGGTGTAGGGTTTACAGGGTGCTGTTATGAGCTTAAAGGCTTTGAAGGGAGCTTTCTGTCCAGTTGCGTAGAGCCTAAATCATGTTCTAAATCCCAGCAGCCCTAATCCCTAAAGATCCTCAGGCCCGTTTCGACCCAAAGCCGAGCAACGAAATTCTTGTCGGGCCCAGGGTACTCCAACAGCCCCCACTCAACCTTCATCATCTGCACACCCTCCCACCCCCGCACTCTTGTCCCCCACCCCTCTCAGCCTTTGCAGAGATCAAGTAGGCGTTGGTGCCATAGCACATCGTTGACACGAGAGAGACGAGGCCTCTCAGCACATCTAGCAAGCCAGGCTCAGGCTGACCGGCTGTGTGATTTGGGGATTCGGGTTTAGGGTTTGAATTTGGGTTTAGGGCTTAGGGTTCAGGGTTCGAGGATGATAGATGCCTATACATGCCTTCTTAGGCAAGAGCCCTCGTGGCCGGAGACTGTTTTGACATTGGGCTCCTGTGTTGGCCGTCCTGGTGTGGATACCTGTCAACCGAAACTTCCACCCTCGTCGCTCCCCCCATCCCTAAACCCTAAACCCTAAACCCTAAACCCTAAACCCTAAACCCTAAACCCTAAACTTACAGTCCGTAATTGAGATTATAATAGGGGGTTCTATAATCCCTCTTAAGGACCAGGTTCCAGAGGTTTATGGCTGAAAAGGAAAGCGGTTTCGAAACTTGGGCTGAACTTCCTGATGTCTTAGGGGTTTGGGGCTTGGGGCCTTGAGCTTATATGAGTAGGGTAACACACTATAGAAGTACTACAGGTATTCAGCATCACATCTCTTAACCGTCCTAACCCAGCGCCAGAGCAAGGATTACAACCTGTCGAAGCCCCTTGTGCCCAAACTTGCACAAGCAAAGCACAGCCGTTTCCTGTCTCTAAACCCGAAACCCTAACCCTAAATCCGAAACCCTAAACCCTAAACTTTACACCCTAAACCCTAAACCCAAAACTTCTCTCGAACCCCTCGAAGCTCCCCAAGCCTGCATCGTCAGGGCTGCGGTCCAGGTCAGTCGGGGCCAGGAAGCAAACATCCCACTCCTTTGCTGCTTGGGTTTGGGGTTTGGGGGTGTTTAGGGTTTAGGGTTTAGGGTTCAGGGTTTAGAGTTTAGGGTTTGGTTGCTTGCAGGTTCATGGGTACTTAGAAGTGGGGTTCTAGGTAGGGTAACGAAAGTTATAACTGGTTATAACCTTGTTTAGGGTACTCATGACCACACTTACAAGTACCCCTGAGCCTCCAAGTGGGTGACATGGTCAGTTCTCAAAATTTCGGCCCCTTGAGTGCGTGAGTGAACTGTTAGCCTTCAATTTTGGGGGTCCCAAAAGGGGCGACTACTCGAGATCTGACCATGTTTATGAAGGTTGAGGGTTGAAGAATCGTTTGTTCCACCGTGAAGCTCACGAGGACGGTCGGATGTTGGCTTCTCTGGATGTGCACAGAAGTTCAGAGGGTGTTGGCGTGCCTGGCCTGCAGCGCCCCCTGCCCTTCCCCGGCAGCTTATGACAGCCGTCTGCGAGGGCACAATACCGAGCATGCAGTGGTAGGTCTGGCAGATGGTCGGACCATGAGAGCCACAACACGGACTATGGGTGGCCTGTTGGGCACAGGATCCAATAAGACAGTTGTCCCTCATGGTCGGAGCAACCGAAAAGCGCATCCGCGGAAACATGCACGAAACCGAAGAAGCACCAAGATTCCGGAGGCAGCTCAGCAAGCACTGCAGACAGCAGCGGCCGGGCATTGGGGGCGGGCATGGCATCGTCTTCCAAGACCAGAGTTGGACCTCAGAACGATGTAGGGGCTTTGACGCTTAGACAAAACCGCGGGGGCTTAACTGTTCACTGTCAACTTAAAGTTGGGGAAGGCGTTGGAGGCAGAGCCGGGCGGCAGTCGACTCCAGAATGCTCCAGAACTACAATGGTTCGGGCTGCGAGCCGCGCGCGCACGAGATTACGACACTATTTGGGTATTTGGCTCTTCCACCCCGCAGCACGTATGGTGGTAAGGGGTGGAGAAATTTTGCCAAATTACTTCAAACTAAGGAGATCTTTTCTTGCAGGGATTCTCGCACCTCATAGAGCTCTATTCAAGTAAGACCCAGCCAGGTTTGACAGAAAGATGCGCCGATTGGCAACCGAAAGTGTAGCGCACCCGCAAGGGACCTAGTGACCTAGGCATTTTGGAACTGACGTTTGCTCCACCGCATTGTTAGAAGCCTGCAAGCGTTTTGCAAGTCTTCCACGCTTGCCGATGCAGCTTCTCTTTCTTGATGTGGGAACACGCACTGGACTGGGAAGCAGTCACATACACGAGAGACATCTCTGAACCGAAGTTCTCCCAAACCCTAAACCCTAAACCCTAAACCCTAAACCCTAAACCCCAAACCCTAAACCCTAAACCCTAAATGCAGCAACCCTTCAGCCCCTCCCGCCCCCTCCGCTGAGCCCTCCACTGCCTAGATCCACAGCTCGCCCCCAAGCCTTTCGATGCGTCAGCGCACAGGCGACCTCTCAGATTCGCAGGGGGTTTAGGGTTAAGGGTTCTTAGGGTTTAGGGTTTAGGGGTTATAGGGCTTAGGGTTTAGGGTTTAGGGTTTAGGGGTTAGGGGTCTTGAGACTGGCGTGAGGGAGGCCCAATAAAAGGGTTTTTGTAGGGGTCCTTCCTTGGCTCCCTGAAGTGTCTAGGCGTACTCACGGTTCGGCCTCGCCCCAGCGCATCGGCCGGTTGTAGAAGGGCGCGAGGCGCCTTTCGCCAAGTCGCTGCTGGATTCAGGATTCCACTGCACCATCAAATTGTCTTCCCAAAGGGTTTAGGTTTTCTGTTTTAGTTCAGGGTTTAGGGTTTTGGGTTTCATGGTTTAGAGCTTGCGGCTTGGTGTCTCTAGAGGGCTCCTTCGGCACTTACAGTCGCGCCACGCGAGACAGAAGCATTTTCAGTCTCCTAGCTGCTCAGCACCTGACGACCGCACGCAGCTTACGGATGAGGGTCAACGTCCCCGCCTCTCATAACCAAAAAACTGCAACACCTAAGCCTGAACCGCACTACTCTTTTATCCTACAGGCCATTGACACACACACAAGTTCCGAAAGCAACTCCGAATTTCCCTGACACGTTTTGCATCCGAGCACGTCATGTGAGATCTCAAACCCTGCGTCAAAGCTCTTACCCCCAAAAGAACATAGAGTAGAGTAGTTCTCAAGGTCAAGCAATTAACCTGAAACTGAGGGCGAAGGCGGTAAGCCCTAAACCCTCCCGAAACCCTTGGAAACCCTTGAGGGCCTCAGGACCGGCACAGGCGCAGCTGGTTGGGACCACCCTCGGCCTGTGAGCAGGAGTCCCCCCTTTGATATTTGGGCTTCAGGGTTTAGGGTTTAGGTGTTTTTGCTTAGGGTTTTTATGGTTTAGTTTACAGTCTTTAGGGTTTAGGCCGGATTTAGGGCTTCTGCTTGCAAGGTTCGCTACAAAAGTTCGAGGGCTGGTCGACATGAATGCGATGAGCCGCCGCCCGACATTGGTGAAAGCATGAATTTGACGCGGGCGCAATTAGGATCTGGACCTTAAGCCCTGCACCCTATACGTATAGACATCGCATACTGCAAGCCCCGATGCCCTCCGAAGACATGACCGGCAGAGCTACATTGGTGTTTCCGCGCAAGTTTTCCACGGCTCCGGTCCCGCGACAGCGTATTCAAATCCGGACTGGACCGCCACATCCACCTGTCAACGGGTCTTTCCCTCAGCCCGAAGAAAACAGAGATCCTCGCCTGAGGCAGGCCTCGCCAAGCTCCGCTCAGTTAGACCGGAACTGGAATGACTGAAAGTGCGTTCACGACTAGCTGCTCCTGACATCTTTGAACGGACCTGCATTCCGCATCCTCTTCACTCTCCCAAGGCTGCAAGCATTCTGCGCGCCTCTTCTGCTTCAACGCCTGCTGATGCAGCCCGTGCTGCCCCATGAGATCAAGCACTGGAGCGCTGGACGAGCGACGATCATGTACCTGCGACAGCTTCTGAACCGGCGCTGCTCGCGCTGCTGCTCGAGTCACGGGCCTCGAGGCCCCGCATCCGATGACTCGACCGACCTCCTGTACCAGGTTTGATTCCTGGCGACGAACTGCCATCTCACGCTCTTGTAGTGCTGGCTGCAACTTCTCTACCATATTCCTCCGATGCTGTCTTTAACAGGCCTTCTGCGGTCAGAACGTCAGAGTAGATGCAGTATTAGTTTGTGTCTGCTTGTCAAAACTCACACGACCTCCGCACTCCTCAAGAGAATCATGCAAGGAAATGGCCCGTCGTTGCACAGCAGCCTTGAGGTGACTGGTCGTCTCTGGCACGTTGAGCTTGTAGGAGGAACGCAAACCCCAAACCCTAAACCCCTACACCCCTAAACCCCTAAACCCCTAAACCCCAAACCCTTTTTGAGCAACGGACTTTGGAGGCTGCCGACAAACAGAAAACCCTAAACCCTAATCGACTTCTGCTCCATTGCCGTGGCTTGCGATGCCCGAAACTTGGGATGCTCGCCCTTATACTAACAGTCCCTAATAGGGATTTATAGTAACCCCTATCAGAACCCCTAGTAAGGACTGTTAGTACAAAGGGGGGACATCCGAACCCTAAACCCTGAAATCCTAACCCTAAACCCTAAACCCTAAACCCTAAACCCTAAACCCTAAACCCTAAACCCTAAACCCTAAACCCTAAACCCTAAACCCTAAACCCTAAACCCTAACCCTAAACCCTGCAACCCTGAAATCCTGCAAGATGTCCAGCCTTGAAGCTCCTCGTCCCCATCGGCCGCTGCGCCCTCTGTCCAGTCGTCGTTGGACCAATCCCAGCCTCAGTTGGGGCCAGAGAAACCCTAAACCCCAAACCCTAGCCCTAAACCCTAAACCCTAAACCTTTAACCCTTAAACCCTAAACCCCAAACCCCAAACCCCAAACCCTAACCCTAAACTCTAAACCCTAAACCGGACCGCGAACTCGGAACGGACCGGGCCCGACAGTGAGCTCACCACACCCATCGATCGAGCACATGATGCTCTGCAAAGCATTCAGTGAAACGATAGCAAGATCCACCCGCAGCCGACCAAGAAGTGTTTAGGGCTCAGGTCTTTGGGTTTAGGGGGATAACTGTACGGAGCTACTCTTTGTGTTTGGGTGGGGTTCTTAAGCAAAAGAAATACATCGTTGTTCTGGCAAAGCTTGGGCCACGAAGCCGCCATACACCTTGACCTTGGCGTGGGGTTTGGGGTTTGGGGTTTGGGGTTTGGGGTTTGGGGTTTGGGGTTTGGGGTTTGGGGTTTGGGGTTTGGGGTTTGGGGTTTGGGGTTTGGGGTTTGGGGTTTGGGGTTTGGGGTTTGGGGTTTGAGTTTCGGGCTTCTGCTTGAGGGTTAAGAGTTCCACCTTGGGCACTCTTCTAAGGATGCTCCTAATGCCTAAGTCAATGCCTCACGTGTCAAGGAGAAAGACTTACAAGCCTGTGCATCTTTGGGAAATATAGGCGGCGGGGATGGAGGGGATGGTGGGAGGGAGGGGGCCGGGGGGGGAGAAGGGGGGAGAAGGGGGGAGAAGGGGGGAGAAGGTGGGAGAAGGGGAGAGAAGGGTTGAGAAGGGAGGGGGGGAAGGGGGAAAGGGGGGAAAGGCCAGAGGGGGAAGGAGGTCTTCTGGCGACAAGCCGCTGCAGTTCCGGCCTCCTGCAGTTCACGTGCATCCACAGCATCCAGGAACTCCCAGGAAAGGCCGGCCGCTTGAAACGCCCGCACGTAGCCGACGCCCGTTTTGGGGCTTCGGGCTTCCACGTGACATGCATCTGCCCCAAAAAGAAGGACTCCAAGTTCGCACCCCGAGGATCCGACACCAGCAAAAGGCAAAGAGTTGGGTCCAAAGAGGGTCCATGTGTTGAGACTTTTGAGATACAGCGAGACCGCCGGGACGAAGACAAGCTGCCCTAAACCCCAGACCCTTCTGCAGTAGGCTTCCGAAGATTCTCGCCTAGACAGTGTGCTCTAAACCGTTTTGCCCCAGGTCTCTCTGACATGACCCAAACCGTATACCCAAAACCCAAAACCTAAACCCTTTTTGCATCCAGGTCTGACGCCGGGCATAAACCCCAAACCCCAAACCCTAAACCCTAAACCTAAACCTCTTGTTTGCGGGCTTTGGGCTCAAGAGCCCGGCCTCCGCCATGCGCCGCCGCCGGTCATCGCGCCTCTTAGCCGAAGGGCAGGACCATGACCCAAAAACATCCGAAATGCTTGAATTGTGAAACCCTAAAGCCCTTCCTTTGTCTCTAAGTTGAGACAGAGAGAATATGTATGTATATATATATATAGATAGATAGATAGATACGAAAAATGACTCCAATATAATATTATATGTACAATATGCACAAACAAACATAGTACATATGCAGGTATAGATGCATGTACACCCGGCAGCAGTACATTGCTTGCTTGTTCGGGACACTATCTGTTTTTTATGTTGGTATTGCACACTCTGACTCTCCAAGCATCCCCCCAGAAAAGAACCCAAATCCCGTGCCGTACCCTAGCCCTTGTGCCTAAGGAGGCTGCAGCACAAGACAGGCACCACCATGCTGGCCACTGCCCAACATGTTAGGGCCCCTAGGGCATTGAAAAGAGATTAAATTAAGGCTTCCAAGGGGTTCCTCACTAAACAAAAACACAACGCCCCAACACACCCATGCGAAAGACTGCACGTCCTAAAGTCTTGTATTTTATTCTTTTTTGCGGGAGGGTGGGGGGGCAAGGAGATAGACTTTGTTACTGAAAAACGAGCAGCGACGGGAACCGGCGGCAGCGGCTCACGCATCGATGGGGGCTTTAGGGATTCTTTGCAGGGTTTAGGGTTTAGGGTTTAGGGTTTAGGGTTTAGGGTTTGGGGTTGTTTGGGGATTAGGGCTGCTGGTCCTCATGGGTCATCTCGTCACAAGGCTCACAGCTTCTGGCATTTCAGCTTTCCTGCTTGAAGCATTCGACCGAGTGCCGAAGGAGCGCTGGACACAACAGGCATTTCGGGACTATGGCACTTAGTCGGCAAGGTCTTCAGCATTCCCTTCAATCACTCGGGCCCTTCAAAACAAAGACAGTAGCAGGGCTGCACGATTCAGGCAGTGCACCGAGCGTCTGCAAATTCAAAAGACCTCCTTGCCGGGTGGCTGGACAGCAGCTCACGTGCTGAGGCCGGCAGGTCATTTCCGCAGCATGTCCAGCGCATCCCCAAGCCCATGACGTAACACTACCCCAGACATCCTAAATCCGACACGCTGGACATCTTCACACTAAACCTTGGCGCAAAAAACAAGTGCCACTCTCCGACTCAGGTCACCCCGGTCCGTCCTGACATGGCTGGAAGAAAAGCGAAGTCTTGCAGTTTGTTTACATACAGGGACTTGATTACAAGGAAGTACCCCCCATCGAGCCTTAATGACAAGATCCATGGTACATCGGCTAGGGTTTCCGGGGTTTAGGGCACAACACCGTACACGGAGGACATCTGAAGCCTCAAAACCTGAGCTTCTCGTAACAGACGCTACATCCTCAACCGACTGGGACGTCCCGGTCCCGGTTTGCTCTCACAGTAAAGTTTGGGGGTTGTCAGGTGCAAGGCGTAAGGCTTTCAAAGCCTCGGGGCATCGGGCAGTCCCTAAACAGTTGGCGAGTTTTATAAGCTCAGGCTGCAAGCCCTCCTTCATCATCTCGAAATGCAGACACTTGCGTCCGCACACGCACACACACGCATGGAGATTTGCCCACAAACCCGCCCTAAGCCTTTCTTGAAACCGCGAAACCCATCTGGAACCCAAAAGCCTAACACCAACACGCAAACCTCCAACACCCCCCCCCCCCCCCTTCGCTTGCAGTTGGCGCAGGTCAGGAGCGATACAGCGGTGAAGAGTCACAGTGCGATGGCAGCATGAAGCTCCGTGCTCCTATGCATGTGAATTTTGGGTTTATAGGTTAGGGCCGGGTTCAGGGCTCCTAGGGCTAGTTAAGCGGTTTAGGGTTCAGGGTTCAGGGTGCCTTATATCGCCTGTCGAGAGAATGGCGCAGTTTTACTGAAGTTCCCAGAGCAAAATTCCGGGGTACCCTAAACCCTAAAACCTAAACCCTGGGCGGCACAAGAAAAGCTTCGGGAGTGCGGCTCGCACCCCTGGACCCTTAAACCCCCATGTTCCCCCTTATACTAACAGCCCTTGACAGGGATTCTAATCGGGGGTATTCTAATGGGGTTTAGGGTTTCGGGTTTAGGGTTTCGGGTTTCGGATTTAGGGTTTAGAGCTAAGGATCGTATAAGGGGGAGCATCCCAACCGAAGCCCCTTTTCCTTCAACCCGCGGGTGGAAAGGCACGTCGGTCCTCATTGTCACATGCCTGCCCGCGGATCCCTCAGGGATCCAGAGGCGCAGGCACTCTGCCGGAACACCGGAGAGGTCGAAGATCGTCTGGCACAAGCTCCTTAGCGGTTTAGGGTTTAGGTTTTTTTTTAAGGTTTAGGGTTTAGGGTGTAGGATGGTGTAGGGTTTAGGGTGCGGGGTTTTGGGTTTTGGGTTTAGGGTTTTCTTGTTTTTTCCTAGGGGTTTTGTGCACTAGGGTTCTGATTTGGGTTTGGGGGAACAGGATTCGGATACTTAGGTCAAGGTGCCCCTGCCCAGGCAACTTCGTAGTGTAGCTGCATCGCTTCTCTCGTTTATGGGGAACGAAGGGCCCCCCTCAACCCTAAACCCCAAACCCCAAACCCGAAACCCGAAACCCTAAACCCTAAACCCTAACCCTAAACCCTAAACCCTAACCCTAAACCCTAAACCCTAAACCTTTGCGGTGGGGATGCACCCCCTTCCCTAACTAAGGCCAGGAACCAGGGAGCCGGGAACTTTCGGAGGGGGGCCCGGAGTCCAACAGGCTTAAGGGGTATAAGGAGGGACCCCTAGAAGGGACCCTTAGGTTTTAGGGTTTAGGGCTTCTTATTCCCCTATATATAAGCTATAAATATATATATATATATAATTAGAATAATGATAATAATAATAATAATACCCCCCAAATAACCTAGTGCCTTGACAAGACGAAAGTGCTTTAAAGGTTCATGGAAGCCTCGAAGAAAATTGCAAATCCTGCGTTTTGGGATGCAGGGTGCCCTGAGACCATGGAAGCTGACTGCCGCAAGCGTGGGTTTTAGTTAGTTGTCCAGTAACCTGGGGGAAACAAAGGTTAACCTTTGGGAGAACAAGGGGATTATACTACCCCAAAAAGGTGAAAGGTTACCTACTCTACCACTAGGTTTAGAATCAAGTCTGCAACACCTGCACTGGGTTGGGGGTCTAGGGCGCACTGCAACAGATGTGGGGGTCTACGATCATAAGGGACCCCTGATATCAAGCCCCAAATAGCAGGATCCCCTTGTAATAAGGACCCCAAACAAGGGATAAACCCTAAATCCCCCCAATATCGTAAACCCCCATGTTTGAGCCATCAAGCCTTCGAAGTCTCTGGTGCCACCCAAGGTTCTCAACGACTTTATCCCAGTCGTTCCTGCGCGGCGCTGATGGGTTTAGGGTTTAGGGTTTAGGGTTTGGGGTTTAGGGTTTAGGTTTTAGGGTTTAGGGTTTAGGGTTTAGGGTTTAGCTGAGAACATGGGGAACGTGGAAGCTCCAGTTCTGGAAGCACAGACACCAAGTACCAGGTACAAGGTACTTCAGCGCGCCTGGTCTACCTGTAGTAGAATGGCCAGGAAAATCGCTACCAGTGTGATTTTCGACTACCCCAGACAATACACCCGGTCATACGTTCTGCTTCAGATTCCTGTGCGTGCTTCGCGCTCCGTGCTTCGCATTTCAGGCAAAGGTGTTTTCAAGCGCTTTCAAAAGTGATGGTCGTGGGTTTCGAAGACCCCGTCTCCAAACCCACTGGTAGAAGTTTCGGCCTAGTATGCACGGTGCTTTGCCCTTGGACTTTCTTCTTTCGATTCATCTGCTTGGGCAGAAAAAGCCTTTAGACGCTGCTCATGATCGATGCGTTGTGTTCCCGCAGAAGCATGCTGATGACTGCTAAACGCCAGCGAGGAGAAACACCGAAGTCAATCTAACCTTGCAAAAAAAGCGCAGAAGAATGCTCCAAGTCATGTTTGTATCTACCGATCTACCGTGCGTAGCCCCCCCACCCCCACCCGCAAACTCCCCCCCCGCCCCCGGCCCCCCCCAACCCCCAGCAAGATTTGGGGGAGTTGCCCCTGACTCCTTCCGAGCCTACAACCAGAAGCCCTGCTGGCTGTTGCCCTAGCCCTAAACCCGAAACCACCCTAAACCCTGAACCCGAAACAACCCTAAACCCTAAACCACCCTAAACCCTAAACCCTAAACCCGAAACCACGCCAACCTCCCCCAACCTCTCCCCACCCCCAATTGTGGCTCCTCCGCACCCGGAAGCAGGGCAGCTGCTGGGTCTCCTTTGGCGTCATATTCAGGGTTTAGGGTTTAGGGTTTGGGGTTTAGGATTTAGGGTTTAGGGTTTAGGGTTTGCAAAATGCGGGGTTAGCTTATTGAGGTCTCTGTTGAGGTCCTTACTACAAGGGGATCCTACTATTTGGGTCCCCTTTTTTGTTAAATCCCCGTATGTGCTCTGAGGTTTAGGGGAGGTTGCAAAGTGCGCAGCACCGCCAAACCACCCCAAAAGCACAGGATCTTCATGCACCCGAAACCCTGAATCCCTAAACCCTAACCCTAAACCCCAATCCCTAAACCCTAAACCCTAAACCCTAAAAACCTCAACCTCTGGGGGTTGTGCTCATGAAGTCCTTGAGCTTCAAGGAGGCGGAGGCCTCGATCTCCAGGGTGTCGAAATAAAACGTCAAAGCAAGGCTCCTTGCTTTGGCGATGTGTAGGGTTTAGGGTTTAGGGTTTAGGGTTTAGGGTTTAGGGGTTTAGGGGTTTCGGGGTTTAGGGGTTTAGGGGTTTAGGGGTTTAGGGGTTTAGGGGTTTAGGGGTTTAGGGGTTTAGGGATTTAGGGGTTTAGGGGTTTAGGGTTTAGGGTTTAGCGTTTAGGGCCTGAGGCAGGGCTAGGATGGCCCTGAAAACCCTCTGAACCATATTCCTAAATATCATCCTCTTGAGCGCAGTAAGGGGGAATATGATACATCCCAAGACCCCACCCATTAGGGCTTTTCGGCCATCTCTAAGATTTGGCGGATTTGAGGTGAAAGCGCGTCACCAGGGTCCTACTTGGGGAGGGCCCTTCTGTAGGGCCTACTTCGTTGTCTCACGCAAAAAGGCTCATGGGAGAACAGACAGCTTACTCAAGACCATGCCAGGCTCAGAAAGACAACGGGGCGGTCGTTCACCCACTTTTGGCAGCACCCCCGCTCTGCATCAAAGAAGGCCGGATCTGTCGACGGACTGAGAATCTGCGAATAAACGACCTGCAACATGCATATATACATATAAATAAATCAAATAAATAAATAAATATAGAAAAGCGCAGTATACAATATACAATCCATTACACATACTCGAGGAGAACTTTCCACATTGTCTATTTACATATAGATATACACATATGTATACATATATATATATTATTTATTTATTTATATCCGTATATTGTTGTTTTGTGCTGTCTTGTCTTGTCTTGTTTGTATTCTATTCTACGTGTTTGCATTGTATTGTTTTGTCTTGCATTGTCTCATATATATATATATATATATCTTGAACTTATGTCTATATATAGATATGCATTTTTTTAAATATATATAGACATATATTTACTTTGTTATCTTTTTGTCCTTTTCTTTATCTTTATATGTATATTCATGTCTATATTTATGTTTACATATCGTACCCCCAGGATATTAATACTAGACTCTTATACAAAGTAGAATGGAGCCTGGTCGGACTCATCGATGAGCTCGAGGAGGTGGCCACTTGCGCGTATGCGGTGGTCCCACCTGGGTTAAGCTCTGCTTCGCTCAAGTTTCAGGGTTTGGGGTTTAGGGTTTAGGGTTTCGGGTTTAGGGTTGAGGGTTTGGGGTTTTGGGGTTTGGGGTTTTGGGGTTTTGGGGTTTTGGGGTCTTGGGGTTTTGGGGTTTTGGGGTTTTGGGGTTTTGGGGTTTTGGGGTTTTGGGGCTTTGGGGCTTTGGGGCTTTGGGGGTGTGGGGGTTTTGGGGTTTTGGGGCTTTGGGGGTTTTGGGGTTTGGGGTTTGGGCTGTCGCACCCGCACAAGCAGGCTTGGGGTTTTCGGGTTTAGGGTTATTATAGGGTTTAGTGTTAGGCGTCGAAGCTTTCGCGGAGGGCGGTTCACGTTCGAGGAGATAGCAGGGCGTGTTCTCAAAAGTGGGCTTCTGCACTCCTTGTTTTTTTGAGGGCAAGGGTTTGGCTACGCAGTCTTCCTAAACCCTAAACCCTAAACCCCAGACCCTAAACCCCTAAACCCTTAAAAAAAAATGCAAAAAGCAAGAAGGCACACAAGCCTGCCACTCTGAGGATAGCCGCTCGTCATCGGGCATGTTGAAGACCGCGAAGCCCAGCACATTGATTGGGCTTTGCCTACACTCCCCTTATAGAACCTTATGAAAAATCACTATTCTCTTCATATCCTCTTGGGTTTCATATAAACCAAAAGAAACAACCTTATAGAACCTTATAAAAAAAGTATCTTTCATATCCTCTTGGGTTTCATATAAACCAAAAGAAACAACCTTATAGAACCTGATAAAAAAAGCAAGGTATCTTTGATATCCTCTTTGGGTTTCACAAAAAACCAAGATAAGCAATGGTTCCCAAGGGGGATGTAGTTGCAGCGTCACTTCCAGCCAGCCCCCCGGCTCGTGGGCAGTGTGGTTGCACCGGCCTTTGCACATCGTGGAGGTGAGTTTGGGGGCCCCTTGAGGCCGTAACCCCTAAACCCTAAACCCTAAACCCTATTTTCTTAGGGGAAGCTTGGAGGAAGCAGGGCCCACGCGGAACAAGCTTAAGTGCACACGATCAACTTCCCAGCCTCTGGAACCTTCCTCTCACACCCGAATTTGGGGGTCTATGGCCCCTATCTAAGCAAATTACAGTAACCCCCAAAAACTCTATTGGAATTCTGAAAGGCCCCTCAAGACGCTAGGTAGGGTCCCTAGACACCAAGAAAAGGATCCCTTCACTGGATCACTCCGGCCCAAACGAACCCAACCCTTCCCCCCCTATGGGACCCCCCCCCATCGGGGCTGCAAACGTCCCACAAAGCGCGCCTCAAAACCCCCCACACACCCCACCCACCCCCCCATTCCCCCTTCTGCCCTTCCCCCCCCCCCCCCCCACCCCCCCCCGCCGCCCCCTTTAACCTCCCCCTTTAACCTGACCTTCCCTTTTTGCAGAAACCATCTTTTCTTGTTCTTGGGCCGGCCTGGCTGCAGAGGGGGGGCGCGCAAGCGGTTACGGAGGGGGCGTTGGGGGGGGGGGGGACTTTTTGTGTTAGGGGAACCAAATCCTGCGAGGGGGGACCCTGTTCACGTAGAAGGTGACCTGCACATCCCCCAAGCTATGCCTAGTTGCTGAGTACCCTAGGCCAAAAAGATTAACCTTTCAGTTGGGGTAGGGTTATGTCTACCCCCAGAAGGTGACAGGTTACCTACTCACCTACTAAGTATGATCCGAGACACCGTCCCGCACCCCGTCAATCACACACTCGGCGAGGCCATAAGATTGCCCGTCGCCGTTAAGGGATGACTGCCGAGCAGAACCACCATTGTCCTCAAGATTTCTTCACCAGCTTGGCCGTTTTAAAGGGTTTAGGGTTTAGGGTTCAGGGTTTAGGGTTCAGGGTTTAGGGGTTAGGGTTTAGCCTTTTTTTAAAAAGGCAACCTGGGGGTTCTTGCTACCTAGCAGCCTCTATGCATAATATGAGGGCCCATACTTCAGATTCCTCTTTCCAAGGGTGAGTACTCTTCCGACACCCTAAACCCTAAACCCTAAACCCTGAACCCTAAACCCTTTCAAAGCCCCCCAACCCGCCTGAAGGGCGTGGTTCATGCCATAGGGGCAGGAGCCGTTCTCGAAGCCGTAGATCTCCACCTGCCAGCCCTAAAACCTAAACCCTAAACCCTAAACCCTGAACCCTAAACCCTAAACCCTAAACCCCTCCGAAATCCTGCCGCCGACTTGAGGCTGTCCCGCAATGCCTGTGGTTTCGGGTTTTGCTTTACTTTCCAGCGTCCGGGACCGAAAAACACTGAGACTTTTTGCGTGCGCCTGCTTGAGGTGGATCGGGTGGTCCGCGGAATCTCGGGAGACGCGCAGCTTCCTCACCTCTGACAATGCGGCTTAGGGTTTAGGGTTTAGGGTTTAGGGTTTAGGGTTTAGGGTTTAGGGTTTAGGGTTTAGGGTTTAGGGTTTCGGAAAACTTGCAGGGGGGGGGGGGGGGGGGGTCGCTTCGCCTTAAAAGGTTTAGGATTTAGGGCCGTCCGCGGCCTCTCTCATCCCAAGGTGGGTCCCTGAGCCCCCACATGTTGAATATAATTTCAGGACCCAAACCAACCACCCCCAAACCATCCCTCTCTCCTCATACCAACACAGCGCTACCTTAAACCCCAAAACCTGCAGCTGGAGGGTTTCACTCCGGGTCGGAAACGGGATGGCTCTGCAACTCTCCAGGGGCCCTCAAGGGGTGTGAGGCAGTTTCGGGCTCTACAAGCATCAGGGTGCACCTTATGACATCTGGGTATTTCCCAAACTAGGGGTACCTTTGTAACTCCAAATAGATTAGAAGCCCCTCAAGGAGACCCCCTTAAAGGGTACCCCTAGTTCTGAGACCCCCATGTCTGGGCAAGCTACAGCTTCCCAGGTCAGAAACTCGCCCTCGACCAACGCGGGCTGTACGTACCGAGTCTCCGGCTCCCCATTCCTTAGATGTCGGGGAAGTTTACGATAAAGAGGGGTCCGTCCTTTTTAGAAGGTGTTGGCTTCTGTCATGGCTTCTCCCCGACTCAGGGCTTCAAAGGTGCGAGCTCGGGAACTCCAATCGGGGTACCCTCTAAGGCTGCGCCCCTACAGCTTCCCTTTATAGGCCCTGATGCTCCATTAGGGTATCTAACAACAAGTCTTGACAAGGGGTCCCTCCCGAGGCAGTTCTAAGGTGCAGCCTTTGCATCTCCCCAGGGCAACGCGACATCTCCTGCATGAGGTTTCCGACCAAGTCCACCTGCGCTCGCGCTGGGCGGCACGCGGGGTTTAGGGTTTAGGGTTTAGGGTTTAGGGTTTAGGGTATAGGGTTTAGGGTTTAGGGTTTAGGGTTTAGGGTTGCAAAGAGAACCGCCGGTCTCTTGACCCTCAACCCGAGATATGGAGGTTTTCGATTTTAGGGGGGGGGGGGTACCTTTTTTGGGGGGGTCCTTATTCTAAGAGGGTCCTACTATTTGGATCTATATTGGGGGTCCCTACTTTCGTAAACCTCCCCCCTATGTGACCCCTATGTTTTGTCAGAGGGCGAGGATTTGCGTAACCGCAAACCCCCCCCCCCCCCCCACGAAATGTCAGAGCCCCTAGATTGACATCCTTTGCTTGACAGCTTCCAGCCCATCTCAGAACTTTTCCTGGAAACCTTTAACAATAATGATTCTTATGGCCCCTTATGCGCAAACCCTTAACCCTAGACCCTAAACCCTAAACCCTGGAACTCAAAAGTCACACACAAGAACAGTCCAGATCGTAGGACAAGGAGCAAAGGTGTCGTGCTCCATGCCCTTAAGCCGCACGGAGCGGCCATCAGGAAGCTGCAAACGCTGCTGGGGGACGGTGATACCCGACTGGAAGAAGATGTGGCCACAGATGTACCTTGTACTTGGTTCCCTAAACCGAAGCCCTAACCCTGAACCCTACACCTCCGATGTAGGGTTTGGCTGAGAGTTTTGGGGGCGTCAGGCCGAGCAACCCTATCAGAACCCAGCCTGTAACGTATCCCTAAACCCTAGACCTTAAACCCTAAAGCCTAAATTGGCCTAAATACTGAACCCAGCCTGTAACCCATGGCACCCGTTTTTGAACCAGGACGCTCTGATGTACCCATGCCACCCCCTCAACCTGGAACTTCATAGTTCGGGGAATCAGGAAGCTCGATGCCTTAGGGTTAGGGTTTGGGGTTTAAGGTGTAGGGTTTGGGGTTCCCAAAAGAGTATGTGGGGAAGCTTTTTACTCAAGGGCTCAAGGTTTCACATTTCCCCCTAAATAATTGACCATTCCATATGCTTATGATTGACTACTGTCCCTACATAGATGTAAACCCCTATCTTGATAGAATCTGAGCTGCCTCAGAAAAACTTCTGAGTATGTCAGAGTACATAGGCAGTTTGATGAGATAAAAAACGGAATCAGGGTTGGCTCTCTCCACCAACATTCTTTGACGTCTTGCTTTCCTGATCGCTTAACTAAGCGGTTGGGCACAGAAGCTAGGGGTTTACGATACTAAGGGACCCGTATAATTTGGACCCCCAAATGGTCGGATTCCCTTGAAATAAGCACCCCCAATAACGTACCCCTAATTTCGGAAACCAATTTTAAAAAAAAAACAGCTCTGTCCCCTCCAGTTCGAGGAGAGCTACGACATCACGCCAGGCGCAAGCACGGGCACTCTGAAAGGATGAAGACTGCGCTGACTCCTTGGCAGCAAGAAGGCAGGCGCCGTCTGATGAACTTCGGGATGTTCTTCCCCCTGATACTAACAGCCCTTAAGAGGGATCATAGTACCCCCTTTTTTTTGAAGTCCCTACTAGGCCTAGGGACTGCTAGTATAAGGAGGAACACCCCAAGATGAACTGTGTATCAACCTCGCCCGTCTCCCCTACCAGCTCCGCGCGAGGCGTTCACAAGTCGCCGCTGCATCCTGTATCAAACTTAAGACTAGTGACTAGTGACTAGTGACTTATTCATTAGCCCGGACGTACTGACATAATTACCCCGGGCATTTGAGGGCCTTGCACAAAACTGCACAACTCAATTGACCCCACAGCCCATGCAACTCCAAAACCCAAAGCCCCTTCCAAGCCCGCCGGGTTTATTCAGGACCGTTGGCCCCGTCCACACACTCGCACATTCACACGCCAGCACAGCCGCACACCCACAAACACAAACACAAAAACAAAACAAACAGAGAGAGAGAGACAAACAAAACAAAACAAAACGAACACAAATACAAACACAATCACAACCACACATGCAAACACAAAATCATGAAGAGAAAACTTCTCCATCCAGCTCTGAAGAAAACATGGCTCCAAAAGCCCCGAACACCGAAACCCTCCTCTGACATCCGCACCCCCGGCTCCCCATTCTTCCCTAAGCCCTAAACCCTAAACACTAAACCCTAAACCCTAAACCCTAAACCCTAAACCCTAAACTAAACCCTAAACCCTAAAGGCCCTAAAGGCCCTAAACCCTAAACCCTAAACCCTAAAGGTCCTAAAGGCCCTAAAGGCCCTAAACCCCAGCTTGCCCAAGGTTCCCCTTGCTGCTTTGCAGGGTCGCCATCACCACAGCGTGGTCGTCCTCGTTGAGAGACGTCGGCTTCGGAGGGCCCCCGAGGATGGCGTGCATACAGGGTTTAGGGTTTAGGGTTTAGAGTTTAGGGTATGTAGGGGCCTTAGTCATTAGAAGAGGGTTTTTGGGGGTTATTATAGTAGATGAATAAAGGGAACATCATAAGGGAATACCTATTACTAGCTATTCCGACCCCCTCTACTACATCGTGGGATGCTCCCCGCCTTATACCAACGGTCCTTGGTAGGGACTACAAAAAGGGGTGGTACTAAAGTCCCTATTTAGGACTGCTAGTATAAGGGGAAAGCATCCCCAGGGTGTGCATCCCTCAGCTCCTCGGGGGTCCTAGAGCTTAAACCCTAAACCCTAAACCCTAAACCCTAAACTTTAGGACTTTGATTTCGTTATGGTAAGGGCCACAGCCGGGGCATTGACAGGCGGGGTGTTGGGGCAGCCCTAAACCCGAAATAAACAGCCATGGAGTCAGGAGACGAAGTTGCAGGACTAAAGAAACATTCAGATACAGGGGCCTTAATCATTAGAACAGCGTGTTGTTTTGGGGGGCTATTTACAGTACATTTATATAGGTAGAAGAAGGGGCGCGATTCGCAAACATTCCGACCTCTACATAATGGTCCCACCCCTCCGACTAAAGCACCCAAAATCATTAGTAAGTTATACAGGCCGGTGGACTCTTTATCTGTTACCCTTATCCCTTCATATAGCCCCTAGATACCCTAATAAGAGCCCCCTACAAAACAGAAACCCTACTTAAAGAGACCACCAACCAATATCATCAGCAAGGCTCAAGGTAGTCCATTCCGAACTCCAGGCTGGCCGTGACCACCGGCCAGGCGTTCACCCATTTCTGGCAGCAGCCGCGGTGTGGGTCAAAGAACGCACCATCCGTTTGCTCCGATATCACCTGGGAGTAGACAACCTGGCCATCCGCCTCTGTGCTGAGGGGTTTTTATGGGGGTTTACGAAAATAGAGGGGCCCCAAGATAGTCCCCCAATAGTAGGAGTCCCTTATGATAAGGACCCCAATAAGGTAACCCCCCCCCGATGTGGCTTCGAGACGATGAAAGGAGTTGACAGTCCCGAATAGGGACTATCATAGGGGGTGCTACAATCCCTATTGAGGACTTTTTGTACAAGGGGGAACATCCCAAAATACGCACATGATGCTCAAGGGTTGCCGGGATGCGTTAAACAGCTCAACCACATGGCCGTGCGCGCGGCGACGGTGATCCCATTCATCATCCGGCATGTTGTAGATGGCAAAGCTCTCCACGTGACGTGGCTTAGCCAGGGTCACTTCCAGCCATCCATTCGGCTCGTGAGCCGTGTGGTTCCTGAGCCACTGGGGAGAGCCCGAGAATGCCCTGATACCCTAAACCCTAAACCCTAAACCCCAGAACCCTAAACCCTACAGCGCTCGGGGTCTAGGCTTCAGGCTTCCGCCAGCCCTGAAGACTTGCACCCGCCATCTCATGCCATCTCACACCGACGTCGACCGACGTCTCCCAAAAACCGAACAAAACCTCTTCAAGCTTGAGGCACCCTATACCATCCCATAAAGAAGTGTGTATATAGGGGGATCTAGGGTACCTCCTTCCCTCATTCCGTACTAAGCAACAGTAAGGCAAAAGGCTGTCAAGGCTCACACTGCCAGTCGGACATCCGTCGATCACCAGCTCAGCCGGCCCATAGCCCTCCTCGGGCGACCCTTGCATGGACGACTGCTCTGCCTGCCCACCCCGCGTCTTCCTCAGCTGCAGCTTCGGGAGACCCAAAAAGTTTTAGGGTTTAGGGTTTAGGGTTTAGGGTTTAGGGTTCAAGACTAGCATGCCTCAAGAATGCCCAGGCTCAATGCGTAGTTCACGCCGTCCACGCCGAAGATTTCCACTTGCTTCAGGTGGATCGGGCGGTCTGCTGACGGCTGAGATATGCGCAACCTAGAGTCGCAGGGCATATGTGTCGAATTTGCGGCGCCCTTTCAGACTTGCTACAACTCTAAACCTTAGGATGTTCCCCCTGTTTCTAACAGTCCTTAATCGGGATTACAGTAGCCCCTATTCGAATGAGCTGTTAGTATAAGGGGGAAGACCCCAATCCTCAGCCCTCAACCCTCAACCCTGAACCCCTGAACCCTAAATCCCTAAACCCCTAAACCCTAAACCCTACACCCCTAAACCCTAAGCCCTTAAACCCTTAAACCCTTAAACCCTAAACCCTAAGCCCTTAAACCCTTAAACCTACCAAAGAACTTTTTCACAGCTTCCCAACTTCCCAGCTCGCCCGACACCGTGCAGGGCTGCACGGCTTTCTCTGCCACTTCCGGTTCCTCCGGGATCCGACATGTGGGGTTTGCAAACTTCTTAGGGATTAATTAGGGTTTGAGGTTTTTGCCACCCGCCTAGCAGACCCCAATGGGATCACTAGGGTTTGAGGTTTGGGGTTTGGGGTTTAGGCTTTAGGGATTAGGGTTTAGGGTGCATTTTTGCGGGATGCGGCGTAAGTACACAGTGCTGTCGTTTTTTCACGGCCTGGGGAGTCACGTCTAGGAAGTCATAAAGCGCGGCTGAAGCCCTAAACCCTAAACCCTAAACCTTAAAGCCCTAATTAACTGTCCCTGTTCCCGCACATCAGGCCTCTGTAAGGCTTAGGGTTCATCAGGTATGCGATAGAGAACAAGAGATTAGGGCTTAGGGTTTTCTGTTTAGGGTTCAGGGGCCTCAATTTGAGAATTCATGCTAATCAATGGCACAACTAATGGCCTAATCAATGGCGCAACTAGTCGGCCCAGAAAACGCCCTCGAACGACCGAAGCGCTGGGTCCCTGTCCGGCAATCCCCCTTTTTTTCACCTCATGCTGATGCAATGTTCCATGGCGACCCCGCCTTTCGAAATCCTGGGCCCAAGTATGACCCCTACCATGGAAGTCTGCACTCATGGACACCTCCAAAACTGCTCTTACAGCCCCCCTGACCACATCCATCGATCGACTGGCGCTTCGATCGGCCGGGACATGCGCTGCGGAGGCCCAAGGAGTCTCAAGGCCCCTGGAACTCATGCCTGACATCTCAATCACCCGTGCCGTACAAGCAATTACCTTCGGGTACACCGGTACACAAGGAGTAAACTTTTCGCAACATTGCTTTGAAAGGCAGAAGATTCCCACAAAATCAAACCCACGAAGTGTTTAAAGCAAGCAGTCCAACTTCCAAGCAGTTCAACTTCTGTTGGCCAAAATTCGACGCGCGCCCCCCCCCCCCCAACTACTTTGTCGGGGAACCAAGGATCAGGGCGCCAGTTTCCCTGAAGCTATCCTCCCCTTAGAACCTTAATAAACATAATATTTTTCATATCCTCTTTGGGTTTTCTATAAACAAGAATAGAAATTAATTCCCTAAACCCTAAACCCTAAAGGGGGATATAGGAAGTGGTCTGCCTTGGCAGCTGGCTCAGCTGGCTCGGCCACCTCGTTTGCCTGGTTCGCCTCGTTGGTCTCGCCCTGGGCCGAGGGAGCGGATTTAGGGTTTAGGGTCCAGGGTTCAGGGAGCAGGGGCGCGCAAAGCCATAAGGCCTCAGACGTCTGAGCCCTCTGTCCGCCCAAACTCAACAGACCGAGTGTACCTAACCCGAACCTCAGAACCGGAACTGCGCGGAATGAAACGCAGAAAGCGAGTCGGGGAACCGGGCCAAAGTAAGAATCCGAACTTCCGTAAACCCTAAACCCTAAACCCGAACACTTGCCCGGCGATTCCGAACTCCAGGGAAGGTTTGGGGAGCTTGCTTGGGAGGCTGTCCGGGCCGCTCTGAAAATTACCAAATCATTACCTTAACAATAATATTAGCATTGCTACTATAATTATTATTTCCCTAAACCCTAAACCCTCAACCCTAAACCCTATTTTATTCTTAGCTGCTCGACCGCTGTCCAAGCAACGGGTGGGTCAGCAAGGACCACGCCAACGTCCTGGCGACTGATTTCCCACCCCCTCACACCCCCCCGGCCCCCCGCCCCGCCGGCCCTAAACCCTAAACCCTAAACCCTAAACCCTAAACCCGAACGAAAAAAAAAAACAGCATCCGGCGTTTTAGGCTGAACGGCCGTCACTGGGCGCTCAGAAGCCTTTTAACAGCCACTACGGAGTATACGTGCATGGCAAGATGAGAAAAGGCGATGCCCATGGTAGCCACCCCAACTGCAGCTGCCCAGCAAAGCAGCCCCTTAATCCCGAACAAAGCAGTCCCTAAACCCTAAACCCGAAACCTGAACCCCAAACCCTAAACCCTAAACCCCAAACCGCGCCTGGTCCCCTTGCGCGGGCTTCGAAGGGTGAGCTCCCGGCTGAGGCTGGCGGAGTGCTTGGAGGCTCATGGTACTTCTGAACCAATGAGAACTGTACTTCTAGGGTTTAGGGTTTAGGGTTTAGGGTTTAGGTTTTAGGGTTTAGGGTTTAGGGTTTAGGGTTTAGGGTTTAGGGTTTAGGGTTTAGGGTTTATATAGGGTTTAGGGTTTAGGGTTCAGGATTGCAACTGTACTTCCAACTGTACTTACAATTACTGTAATCATATTCGGGCACTAAGGGGGCGTACAAATGGGTTAGAAGCGCAGTTATGATTTGTGAAAAGGTGCCATGAAAGCGGGGGCAGGTCAGAGCTTCGTGGGCTGTCTGGTTAGCAGGGTATTGAAGGCGGCGGCAGCCTGTAAAAACCATCGTAGTTTTGAGTGTGGGATACTTCACTTCTCGAAGATCTACCAAGAACCAGACACTTTAAGGCGTTTGTGGTTCAGAGCCTATCGGGCCCCTTCACAAGAATTCTTTCGGCAACTTTGCCGCGCCTCGACTGCTACCTTCGCAGATGCGCCACAGCCCATTGCTTTGGCGAAGCGCCCTTTGGGGCTTCCCACAGCTCATCTGAACACAAATAGCTGCCACGAGATCCCTAAACCCTAAACCCTAAACCCTACTTGTTGCATCTTGGCCCTCATGCACGACCCCTACTGGCCCTAGTGGAGCCCATGAAGACATGGAGGCTGGTCTCAACAAGTCAGGCCCTGGGGTGCTCGGTGCTCAGCGGCCCTCAGAATCAAGCCCGACGTAGCCACACTCCAGAAACCAAAGCTAAGTTGAAGCGGGCCCCGAAATCCCAACTTGGGCAGCATCCATAGCCGCTGCAAGGCTCCGCGCCGCTCTTAAGCCCCAAGCCAACACACCGACGGGATTTTTGGTTTGTCTGCCAACGCTGGCTGAACGAAGGCTTCACCGCTATGGCAAATTGCGACGGCCTACAGCACCTTCAGCGGGGTTGCGGCCTGTGCCACTCCCGCTCAAGCCTTTCAAGGCCGCCCGCGCGCGGCGCTCGGCAAGAAACGCGAAGGCGAAGCGGAGCATCATCACTAGACAGACCCCCTGAGCAGAGGAAGCGTGGGTTCTCAAAACACCCTAAACCGTAAACCCTAGACCCTGAAAAAATGTAGGGTTCCAAACCCTTTTGCATCCAGGCCTCTTCGAACACTGCCGGTTGGAACCCTAAACCCTGAAACCCTGAAAGGTTTTGGGCACAGCTCCAAGGTTTGCTTGTTCTAAACCCTAAAACCCTTTTGCAACAGGCTTCTGAGGTCCGCGCCCGGAGTGTGCTTTAACCCTAAAACCCTAAACCCTAAACCCTAAACCCTAAGCCCTAAGCCCTAAGCCCGCGAAGTTCTGCAGCTTGGGAGCTGCCGCCAGGAAGCAAATCAGAAAGATCATCACCTGGCTGCGGAGGGTGGGGATGTTCCCCCGCAGACGAACAGTCCCTAATTGGGATGATAGTACCCCCTATTAGGGTTTAGGGTTTAGGGTTTAGGGTTTAGGGTTTAAGGCTAGAATCCCTATTAAGGACTGTTAGTATAAGGGGGACGCATCCCAAGCTGAGGGTGGTCATCGCGGAGCTTGGGATCTAGGGAACAGGTAAGTGAACCTACATCCCCAGCATGAGCCTGCACGCAACATCTGTTGAGTCAAATCTGAAGGAGGCTGCACATGCAACGTCACCGCTCGCCGAACGCATGTGAATGCATCCCGACTCCCGACAACTCAGACATCGGCTACCTACCATGACACACACATATACACATATGCATACAAGCAACAAAATCAACAAAACGACAAACGAACAGACAAACAGACAAACAAGGAACCGTTAAACAAAATAACACACAATCGAACTCAGACATCTGCCGAGGGACGGCAGGGTTTAGGGTTTAGGTTGGGGGGCGCCTGAACATGCCTTCATGGTCTGGCAATACTTGATTCCTTCATGACCTTTCGCCCTAAACCCTAAACCCCTAAACCCTATAAACCCGAGCAATACCCTCCTCCCATGGGATCGGCACCTGTTGCGTCAGCATGGTTCTCGCCCAATGGAGGTCGTTGGCCACAAGGCACGTCGTAAGCCCAGTCATGGTCAACGCCAGGACTAAACTTGGTTCTGTGCCAGGTTCCGATGCACATCGTCCTAAATTCCCTACAAAGGCTCAGATTAGTAAGCTGAGGCTACAGTGGTTTTCATTGCATTGCCTCTAGTTCGTCCGTCCGCCGCCCACCACTACTCTTCTGGCCGTTCTCATTCATCAAAACAGTGGAGAATCGCTATCAAGTCCTGGCAACAGCGCAATCTCGGAGTTGTTGAAGAAATCGACCTCCGACAGGGACGATCTGCAACATGCCAAGCCTAGCTATCAACCTGCTAGTAGGCCACCAAAAGTTAGATTCTTGCACCTGTGATTCGCCAAGGCTAATGAGGGGTGCCCAGGGCATGCGGCACGACATTTCAAGGCACCTCATTCGAAACCGTCCTTGTTGTACTGTAGACTTTGGGTCACAGAGATCATTTGAGGAGGGCAGATGCAAGGTAGAGGCCACAGGAGCTTCATCCCATGGTCCAAGAAACACCTCTCCCGTTGCAGCAACTTCAACACGAGGTCGGGGCAAAAAGCGATACTGTAGGTTCGCAAGGCATGAGAGTGTTCAACAGCATGGTGATGCGGCTCAACCCCTTACGATGCCTGTGAAGATGAGAGGTCCCGACGCTGTGCTGTGCGCAGGAGCAGATGCCAGAGCTCAAAGGCCAAAATTGCAGATGTGGTGGAAGCAAAATAGGAAGCGGTTGGCTTGTATGTTGGCCGAACGATTTGAAGGAAGTGGCTGTCGCGGGTTGCATGCCTCCGGCCGTTACGCAGTGCGATGCAGGATGTGCTTGGCCCTGCACTCCTAAACCCTAAACCCTTTTGCACACGTTTGGTTGGTATTTGTTAAAGCCATTGCAAATTACCACATTCCCTAAACCCCAAACCCTAAACCCTAAACCGCGGCTATACGCTTTTGGAGATCTATTGCCATCTGGAGGCCGATTCGTGGAGACAGCCGAAGATGTCTATTAACTCAGGACAGAACAGCGAAACAGATCACAGCCACTACCCAGCCCTACCCTGAACCCTTAGCACCCCAATTCCCACCCAAGAAAGAGACCCAGATGACCAAAGACCCTGAACCCTTTTGCAGTAGGCTTCTGATGGCTTCGGAAGCCGACCCTGAACCCTATGTCCTGTAAACCCTGTAAACCCTATAAACTCCATACATCCCAGACATCCCAAAAAAGCCTGCAAACCACAAATCCCAAAAAAGCCTGCAAACCCGAAACTCACGCACCCATGCACGGCAGCCTTGTAGGGCTGGAAGTAGAAGTGCAGGCCCACTGAGGCTGTGAGGATCAGGCTCACCGCCTCCATCTGCAGCGCCTGTGTTTGGGGAAAGGGGGGGGGGCCTTTAGGGGCCCCGAATCCTAGGCTACATTGGGGATTGTGGATATCTACATTTAGCATATGTAGACAGCAAGGGAATACGGTCCCAACAAGCTTGCGAAGTCCTTGGCTCGACGATTCAGACTCTGAACCCTGAACGCGGGCAGGCGGCAGGCGACAGCGTCACCGGGAGCATGGCCGTGACTAAGGCCAGAAGCATCTTCCGCACGAGGCGCTCGATCTGAGGGTAGCAGGCGTCCATCAGGATCAACAGGCTCTACCTAGACCTGCGCAACCGGGTTCCCTGATCCAGCCGTTTAGAGGTCAACAGCAGCTAGCCGCACCTCCCAGATCGAGCACTCCGTCTTGTAGGCCTGCAGTTCGTGCAGATCAGGAGCGGACTCTACAAGGGACCCTTAATCTCATTCCCCTTTGTAACTCCAAGTAGCCCCTAAATAACCCCTAAGTAACCCCTAAGTAACCCCTGAGTAAGGTGCCTGCTCCTTTAAAGTCCCTTGATACAGACTTGGACGTGAATCAGGCTTGGGGATTCCAGCTTTAGGGCCTTCGGGCAGGGAAACTCAGGGTTTAGGGTTTCTGGTTTAGGGTGTAGGGTTTAGGCCTGCATCAGGTAGGCCACGTGCGGTTGCATGGGTTCGCGGCGAGATTGCACCTGGGAATGGAAACTCTGGTTGGGAGGCCCTGTGGGGAAAGTCCAACCGCTGAAAGGCCGGTGTAGTACAACCCTGAAATACCTAGACTCTTAGACCTAAACCTAACACGACACAAAAAGCAAAAATTGCCACAAGCAAACGAACATGCTGGAGAAAAGCACGGGCGCCACATACAGCCAGCTCCCGGCACCCAGTGCGAAGCAGGCGACGACGGCCGCCAGCACGGAGGCTCGCACGGCTGCAGCTGGCCCGGGCGGAAGAAAGTCCCAATGTAGCTCCTGGTTCTGGAGACAGGTACTAACAGTCCTTAATAGGGATTCTAGTACCCCCTATTATAATCCCTGCTAAGGAGCTGTTAGTACAAGGGGGGGACATCCCAAAGTATTTCGGGTGCTCCACCCCAATCTGGCCGAGCGCCACCTCCAGTTGGTCCAAGTCAAGAAACCAGAATCTGAGACATTTGTTTCTGCCATCAACCCTACAGTAGACCCTATTCTTGCAGCCAGTAAACCCAAACCCCCCCTCTGTCTCTCTCTCTCTCTCTCTCTCTCTCTCTCTCTCTCATAAACCCTCAACCCTAAACCCTAAAACCCTAAAACCCTAAAACCCGAAAACCCTAAAACCCCAAAACCCTAAACCCTAAACCCTAGACAATTTGGGTGGCTTGAAGCTTTTGGCAACCCCGTGCGGACCCGAACCCCGACGCCGGGCTTTCAACTACATCCTGAGTCAAGACGCAAGCCTACATGCCAAACATGTTACTCTCAACTCGAAATCTTCACTTCTGAGCCCCCCGCCCCTCTCAATCACAAAACCCCGAGCAAAAAGAGCTCAACCCTAAACCCTCAACCCTAAACCCTATTAAGGACCTCTTAGTATAAAGCTTTAAGACCCAAAACTTGGCGAGGCGCCCCGCCGACGCTATCTTCGGGTCGGAGCCGATAGGCCACCAGGTACCTTTTCTGACGGCTTTTTTTTGGGGAGCTCTTTCTCTTTGTTTTTTTTTTGGGGGGGGGGGGGGGGGCAAATCTTAAAGTTGGCTACAAGTAGATGTAAGTACTGAGGGTTCTGTTCAACTCTCCGACTCTACGTACGCCGCCATGGTGCCTCAAAAGTCCACGACCGACCCTTATTTCCTCCAGAACCCCTTGGACAATTCGGAGATTTTGAAACTGGAAGAAGCCCCTGCAGACCCCTTTTGTCTGCGTCCAGCGCCCACTCTCAAACCCCGAATCTCAAAGCCGTGTGTGACGAGGCGCTTGCCGAAGGCGGCTGTAAAGCCCTGAAGGGACTCTGGCGAGGTGCTAGGAATGCAGGGGGCTTCAGATGGAGCATGTTAATCGCTCACACTCGGACAAGGCTTGGGGTATTTGGTGCTTTGGGATGCTTGAGGTGTGGGGTGCGACTATGTCATCCATCTTTGTTTGTTGCTTGGGCGTTTGGGGCATCTCGGACGAAGTCAGACGAGGCGGCAGCGCTTGCTTTTGTTCGGGGTTTGTAAGCCAGCCACCATCCCCAAAGCTAACCCGAAACGCTCTAAGCAGAATCCTTCCCCTTTGTTGTGCCAAACAACCCTAAACCCTAAACCCTAAACCCTAAACCCTAAACCCCTCGTCCTGAACCCTGAACCCCTAACCCCCTAAACCCCAAACCCTCCTGTTGGGTCCCCCCCCCACCCCCCAAGGGGCCGGCAGGAAGACGTTCGTAAACCCTCAACCCTCAACCCTCAACCCTCAACCCTAAACCCTAAACCCTAAACCCTAAGCCCTAAACCCTAAACCCTAAATCTAATCCTAATCCCCCAGGGGCCGGCAGGAAGACGTTCGTGCCCACCACCGCGGCCAGCCAGCCGCCCTTGATCACGGCCAAGCCTGCCTTCGGGGTTGGCAAGAGGGTTTTGTTTGGGCGAGTTTAGGGTTTAGGGTTTAGGGTTTAGGGTTTTTAGGGTTTTTAGGGTTTTTAGGGTTTTTAGGGTTTTTAGGGTTTAGGGTTTAGGGCTTAGGGCTTAGGGTTTAGGGTTTTTTGGGTTTAGGGTTTAATTAGGGTTCAAGCTAAACCCACAACTCAAGCCCGACACGGGACCTGGGCGACCTGCCGGGATTTCCCTTCCCTGACCCAAAAAGAGCCGCTGTGGACCTGGGACCCGGCCCCGGGAGCCCGAGAAGTCTCCGAGGGCCTCACACGCCCGAAGCCGTGTAAGAGTGAAACCCCAGGAGGGCCCTTGAAGCCCTCTGGAACAAGATTCCGGTATCTGATCCTCCCAGGGTTTAGGTTCTCCTCCTTTTTTTGTTTGGAGGGGGGGGGGGGGGGGGGGGGGAAGAGTCCGATATGATCCTGTTGGTTTTTTTTTGCTTTTTTAGGCAGACGGGGGGGGGGGAAGGGTATGGATTCCGGTATATGATCCTCTTAGGGTTTAGGATTGGTTTTTGTTAGTCTTTTTTTTTTGGGGGGGGGGGGGGGTTAGGGTATAGGATTTGGGGGTTAGGGTTTCGGGTTTACTAAAACCCAGGAAATCTCCCAAGGGTCTACCTAGAAACAGGCACCCACAAGTTGGATTTCAAGGGCCTAGCTGAGGGCGTCGAGGTTGATAAAGAGTCGAGGCTCCGGGATTTTTGGGGTTGAGTGTGTGAGGGTTGGATTCCCTACTACCCGCCCTATTCCCCCAAACCCCGCAAACCCCGCAAACCCCGCAAACCCTAAACCCTAAACCCCTGAAGTAAGGTCAACTGGCCTCAGTCAAGGAGGGGAACTTTCGGGGTTTCAAATGTCGACCAAGCCACGACGAGAACTGCCGGCCATATGGACATCAGCATGTGCGCTTGGTGCACCGACTTCCTTACTGTTGGTTAGTAGGGAATGAGGGAATGAGGTACCCTATATCCCCCTATGTATACCCGTGAAGGGATGATAAAACAACAGTAAGCTTCCTGCACCAACTGCCGTAACAACCACTCAGCTTAGGGTCCCTTACCCCCCAATAAGGACTGTCAGTATAAGTGGCAACATCCCAAACCCGAACCAAACCGTAAACCCTAAACTCTATACCCCCAAACCAAGCCCAGGTGCTCCCAGCCCACCAGCCCTAGCAGGCACTCCGCCGACATTTGGCCCCCGGAGCCCTGGCCCTGTGCCGCGGCAACCGGCAGAGAGAGGTACTCCAGCAAGTCCTGGTTTAGGGCTAAGTGCGAATCACAGGCTATTCTTAATCATATTTTTCCATAGAAAGAAGACTAGAAAGGGTTTAGGGCTTAACCCTAAACCCAAATGCAAACTCTAAACCCTTAAACCACCCTACACCCTAAACCCTTCTGCAACCAGGCCGCTGTAGATACACCCTTTTAGATCCAGGCCTCTGAAGTCTGCCGGGTAAACCCCTAAACCCTCTCAGGTCTTAGGGCGGCAGGGCTTCCAGAGTTCCGTTGCCCAGCAGACTTTTGTTCGGGTTTAGGGTTTAGGTTTAGGGTTTAGGGCTTAGGGCTTAGGACTTGGGGGGTTGGCCACCATCGTAGCTGAATTGCTACGCAGGGCAGCCACACTGCAGGGTAACAAATGTTTTCGTTGAGGGCTCCCCCCAAACCCTAAACCCTAAACCCCAAACCCTAAACCCTAAACCCTGAACCCTAAACCCTAAACCCTAAGCCTTCTGCACTTTGTCTTTTTGTTTTTTGTTTTTTTGGGGGGGGGGGGGGTCGGGGCCTGCGTCTCATGCTGGAGGCTCACGAAGGCTTTCGTCTGCATGGCGCCGGACCTCACCGAGACCCAAGATACCCTACCCATCCTCCCGCCGAATATAGGGGTTTAGGGTTCAGGGTTTAGACTGTCACTTCTTGTGCAAGCTCGGAAGGAGGGCCGTGCAAGACAAGCAAGCCAACTCCTACAATTGAGGGCAGAACACAGAACCCAGCAGACAATGCAGCACAGCTCTGGCGGAGCTCTGCTAGGAGCCCATGTGCTCTCAGGAGCACTCACAGGGGGGTTTTGAAAGAATTCTGCGACTGGGGTTGCTGCGCGACCTACTAGACCCTGAACCCGAAACCCTTTCTGCATCTGGGCTCACAGCGATAGCCAGAACGCAGGCTTCCCCAAACCCTTTGTCCTAAACTCCAAACCCTAAACCCTAAACCCTAAACCCTGAACCCTAAACCCTAAACCCTAGCACCAAGCCCCGGGACATCGCAACGCTGGCCACCGCCGCGAAGGCCATCAGCTGATTCAGGAGCGTCGCGCTGGCGGCGCGCTCGCCCTTGGAGAACGCGACCTGGGCGAGGCTTGGGCTTTAGGGTTTAGGGTTTAGGGTTTAGGGTTTAGGGTTTAGGGTTTAGGGTTTAGGGTTTAGGGTCTGGGGTTTGGGGTTTAGGATTTGGGGTTTGGGGTTTAGGGTTTAGGGTTTAGGGTTTAGGGTCTGGGGTTTGGGGTTTAGGATTTGGGGTTTAGGGTTTGGGGTATAAGGCTTAGGGTTTGTTTGTGTGCCACCCGCCTAGCTGACCAATCTCGGACGCACTGCAGGGAACTTACTGGCCATCACACGAGCTGATGTCAATACAACTTGAACTACCCTCCTCGATGCTGCTTAGACATCGGGGAGAAGCGACGAACAAGTCTACCACTGCGTATGAGGGCGGCACAAAACCTACAAAGTCAAAAACCTCCAAGCACCCGCTCTCACAGACCCTCTCGATGCTCAAACTGCATGTCAGCCAAGCACAGGGAGCAGAAGGCGGCAAAGCTTGACACACCCAAGCGGAGGCGGTGCGGCTTGAGTGACCCAAGCGGAGGCCGAGAAAGGCAGAACTCATGAAAGCTTGGCGCACCCGAGCGGAGGCGGTGAAGACATGGCAGCTTGACTGACCCAAGCGGAGGCCGAGGAAGGGCGGCGCTTGACAGACCCAAGCAGAGGCCGAAGAAGGAGGGGAGAGGATCAGGCCGGGTCAAGCAGGCTGGCTGTGGCCGTCACGGCATCAATGCAGGGGCCTAGCTTGGCCCTGCGGCGGAGAACTGCTCGGGCACGGAAGCGTCTGGCCGTGGAGTGCCTGGCCGTCAGCTCCCTCGCGGGCAGCAACCGCACGCGCGATCCCCCACAGGACCTTATCCCACGCCCATGTGCATTCCACAACCATTGGCTGAAAGCGAACGCCCTGCTCAGCGCACGTTCGGGCCGTGTACAAGTGTTCAGCTTTGGTTTGGACATAAGCTGCCGCCGCAGACGTGGCTTGGCCGTCACGTCGGAAAATCGCTCTGAAACGATCCCTAAGGTTCAGGGTTGTGTTGAGGGGTTTGGGGTTGTTAGGGTGTAGGGTTTAGGGTGATGATTGATTTTGGCACCCGAGTAGTAGGGGGACTCATGTCTCATGTGGGTCTATGGCCGGGCTTATGGGGCGTTAGAGCTTCACAGAGTTGAGGGACTCCGCTTTGAGCCTCTAGGCATGCAGACCTGTCTCCTGTGATCCGAGGGTTGGCCGGCGATTGCGGATTGGATATCAGCGCCTGGACACAGTTTTGCCTGAGCATGAAGAAGTGGTGCTGTGGGAAAGCTGGGCACCAGGCGCTCGCTACGGCGGAAACAAAAAGGGCCAGGGTCTTGACGATGTAGAAAGCGACGTAGCGCCTAGCCTCGCACGCCGCAAAGATGGAGCCTTCAACCCTAAACCCTAAACCCTTTTTGCAGCCGGACTGAGGGCGTTGCCCTAAACCCTAAACCCTAAACCCTAAACCCTGAAGCCTAAAGCCTGAAGCATAAAATCCCATGCTGGGCGGGCCTGGTAGGACTGAGAGCAGTCCACGCACTGGAGCACGTTGGCATCCCCGCGGGCGTAGCCTGCGGCGCAGCTGGCGCACCTTGCGCTTGAGGGGGTGATTTAGGGTTTAGGGTTCGGGTTTAGGGCTTAGGGTGTGAGACTTAAGAGCCTGATAAAGGCTAACATAAGCTGCACCGACGCAAGGAAAGTCAGTACAGGTACCCCTAAACCCTAAACCCTAAAACCTAAACCCTAAACTTCCCTAAGCCCTAAACCCTTAAGTCCGTATAGTTACCCTGTTAACCTGCAGAGCAAATAAGAAGAGCTTAACAGAAATACAATGTGCAGCTCAGTTGCCCTGGGCCCTCGTAGCCCTTCAAGCACATTGGCGTCACCACCTAGCAGGCTTGAAGGGCGTGGCAACTCCAAATCCCAAGCTAGGGTTTAGGGTTTAGGGTTCAGTAATTTAGGGTTTAGGGTTCAGGAAAAATTGAAAAGGGGTCACACCTGCACCGGCTTGCCGATCTCTGTGCTGGCATTTAGTTGGCCTCCAGGGCACGCCTTATTGGGGCACCGGTACCACTCGGAGAGGTCGTCTGCACGGTGCAGGTCGAGGACGACCTCGGCAGATCAACCATCAGAGCCACCAGAGCTACAGGGACGTGTAGCAAGCGGAACGCGCCATGAGCCCAACTCAAGAACTAAGAAACCGTGGCCCTAATAGCCCATACAGGCTCTTCGACCCTCAACTCTCGTCTTAAACCTTGTCTCAAGAAGACCTAGGGCACGGACCATGAAGCCCTCCGGGACCGAAAGGCTGGCCGGTTCGCAGGAGATAGTCGTGCCGAGCACGTGGGGGCAGCGCACGCACGTGGGGCTGTGCATGGTGAGCCTGGTCAGTTCCTCGTTGCAGACCTGGAGGCTTTTACACCAACCGCGCCTCGACCTGATTCGTTTACGCAAACCCCTCGCCCCAAACCTACATCCTCAAACCTCAAACAAACCTTCCTGAGTTCTGTATTTACCCCCCAGCCCCTCCTCGCAGGTGGCAACACCGACCGGGTGCCGAAAGCCCTGACCTCGGCCACAGGCGATGCCTCTTGTGTCCACAGACCTGAGGCGAGGATGTCGATGAGTTTCGGCAACTGTTGGCACTTCGACGGTTTAAGAGATCGGGGTTTGTCGTTTTGAGCGGGTGAAGTTTCCTGTCGGGTGTGAAGCTATGAACATGCAGGACAGATGTGAATTGCCGTCTGGCAAACAATGTCTGCGAAAAAGATGCTAAGACTTCGGAACCTGGATACTGCCCCTCCAACCGGCAGCTGGGAGCATGCGCGCACTGCGCAAAGCGGACGCGCAAAGCTTCACCGCATCTCGCCTCTGCGCCTGTCACACCATGAATGTCGACCACATCCATGCTGGCATTGTAGAGGACGGTGAAGACCGACGCTGCAGGCGCAGAGCAGTTCTGGAAGCTTGCGTTGCCCAGCCGAAGGTTCCCTTTCACAGAGAGCGCCCCGCCCGTACCGCTGGCTGTGCAGGACTGAAAAATGCTGGAACCGGAGACTGTCATGTCGCGCTTGACAAAAAGACCTTGCATCGGAAGGTGGGAGCCGAGTTCGTGGGGAGCAGGTGCCCAAACTTGATATCCCCGCCCACATACGCGAAATCAAGCTACCCGAAAAGCCCTTTTTTGCACCGAGCTTGTGTGTTCAACTGCCCCAAGCCCTAAACCCCAAATTTAGTGTAGGTTTGCTTTTGCCACCCGTCTAGCCATGCTCCACGGGGCAATTGGAGAGGGTTTAGGGTTTAGGGCTTAGGGTTGCGGGTTTAGGGCTTAGGGCTTAGGGTTTAGGGCTTAGGGTTTCGGGTTTGGGGTTCAGGGCTTAGGGCTTAGGGCTTAGGGCTTAGGGTTTCGCCAAAGACACAGCCGCCCTGATTAGCGGACGCTGGGCCAATGCTGAGGCCGCCTTGAAAGTGCGCATGGCCGTTCACGTAGATCGCGCCGCCACCTCTAGGGTTCAGGGTTTAGGGTTTGGGGTTTGGGTTTAGGGTTTAGGGTTTAGGGTTTAGGGTTTAGGGTTTAGGGTTTAGGGTTTAGGGTTTAGGGTTTAGGGTTTAGGGTTTAGGGTTTAGGGTTTAGGGTTTAGGGCAGTTTAGGGCCCTTTTACCCCCCTTTATACCCTCTTTTCACCCCCTTATGCCCCCCCTTCTACTTCCCTCATACTCGTCTGACATGGAGGGCTCTTCCGATAATAGGGGGGGCGGCCCCTGTCAGGGGGACTTCTTTTCTAGTTTGGGGCAGAAAAGGGATACCCCTGTTTTTGCGTCGAGAATTTCAAGACAGCTCACGCTTCTCTGGTCACCTACAAAATCCACAGATGTACCTAAACCCTAAACCCTAAACCCTAAACCCTAAACCCTAAACCCTAAACCCTAAACCCTAAACCCTAAACCCTAAAGCCTAGACGATCTGCCCAGCTGCGGTCAGAGGCTTTCGCGTTCGTGATGTTCACCGTGACGTTGCTGAAGAGGCTTCCATCCGTCACGGCTATAGCTCCTGCTGTGCAAGGTTTCGGGTTTAGTTTAAGGTTTAGGGTTTAGGGTTTGGGGTTTGGGGTTTGGGGTTTGGGGTTTAGGGTTTAGGGATCATTGCGTTGGTTCACATCATGGGTCTAGGACGTAGGGTTTGCTTGGTGCTTCGAGTTACCCAGCATGCGGCTGAGGCATGGAGTGCAGCCTGCCCGGAAGCTACACGGAAGGAGAGCAAGGGCCATAATATAGGGGTCGGAATAATTACTATTCGCATTCCCTTCTGGTTTTATATACATATACTATAATAACCCCCAAAAACCTATTCTAAAGATTAAGGCCCCTATATTACCCCCCAAAAAATGCTAGAGCACGAAAGCAGCACTGCGCTAAGTAGATCCGACCTTGCAAGCACGTCGAAAACAGTCTTTGTCGGCGTTCCCAAATGTTCACAGCTTTTTCCTCCTTCCAAAGTGCAACTCCTACTCCTATTCCAAGTACTTCTTCCAGTTGGTCCCAGTCGTTCCCAGATCTAGCGTCCCGATGTGTTCCTGAGTAGCCCCCACCTTTTTCAATGCACGTTCCTCCGCGGAATACGTTCGTACCACAGGCGCCGACTCTCGAGTCGAAGGTGCATCCCGTATGCTGGAGCCTTAAGTCAGGTCCCTCGCGCTCTACCGCCATAGTTTGTACATGGTCGGGGAATCTGTTCCCACTTGGGGGGGTTGGCAATGCTGATTGTGAAGCGAACCAAAACAAGCTGTACAGTGCAAGGGTATGGCCCTAAACCCTAAACCTACATCCTAAACCCTAAACCCCGAAACCCTACACCCTTTTTGAACCCTAAACCCTAAACCCTAAACCCTAACTAAACCCTAAGCCTATAACACGACCTGTTTGGCAAGCCAGAGGCCTCCGTGTAGTCCGGAGGTGCAACCGCTGCTGTGAAACTCGCCACCCACGAGCTTCAGGTGCCCACCATGGAGAAAAAGACCGCCTCAACAGATCAACAGACTTGGGTTGTTTAGGGTTTAGGGTTTCGGGTTTCGGGTTAAGGGTTTAGGGTTTAGACTCAAACTAGGAGTCGGAGTAGGAGAAGAAAGGAATAGGAGTAGGAGTCGTAGGAGCAGAAGGCGTAGGAGTAGGAGTAGCAGGTGAAGACGGAGTCGGAGTAGGAGTAGGAGTAGGAGTAGGAGTAGGAGTAGGAGGTCTGACACCGACGTCAGTACCGCAAATCTCTGTTCGAGTTTCGCGGTTTGAGTCTGCGGGGCGCGTCGCACGTTCGCGCGAACCACCGAGCAGGGGGCGCCAAGCTTCACACTCTCCCTCCCAACTGTCCAGTTTTATGACCTCTGGCACATTGGTCGGGTTTCGACTCTCACGACTCGCGCACGCGTAGGTCGGTCGGGCTTAGGGTTTTTTATTCCATCTCTTGGGCTCCTCGCAACTCCCCAAATGTTCACCTCCGAAGGGGTGTGCCTAAGGGACGAAATTGCGAGCTTGGAAACGATGACTCCCACACAATCCTAAAACCCAGACCCCAGATCCCAACACCGTATACAAATCCCCCGAACCACAAGCTCAACACTCAGGGTCTGAGAGGCCACTTGCTCTGGCAAAACCCTCCTCCCAGAGCTATACCCCCTTTTTATATCTAGACCCTAAACTCCTCTAGGCCCTCTTACTGCAATCATAACCGTAGAAACTCCGTAAACCCTAAACCCTAAACCCTAAACCCAGAAAAGCCCCCGGACAGTTGCCTCCATAGCTGTCCGCTGAGCATCCCTCCATGACCAGGCGACCCCCACTTTGGAGGAATCCCTCGTCACTGGCGATCGCACCTCCCGGTCCGCGGCTCTAGGGTTTATAGGGTTTATAGGATTTATAGGGTTTATAGGGTTTATAGGGTTTATAGGGTTTATAGGGTTTATAGGGTTTATAGGGTTTATAGGGTTTATAGGGTTTATAGGGTTTATAGGGTTTATAGGGTTTATAGGGTTTATAGGGTTTAGGGTTTAGGGGTTTAGGGTTTAGGGTTTGGGGGTTTAGGGTTTAGGGTTTAGGGTTTAGGGCTTCGGAGGGTTTCAAAGCTCACGATCGCTTCAGGCGCCGGGTTTTGGGGTTCAAGGGCCTGTGGCTTGGTGGAACTCACCCTAAGCCCTAAACCCTAAACCCTAAACCCTAAACCCTAAACCCTAAGCCACTGTAGAATGGTACGCTTTGTGGCGTGTTGCTGTGCTTTCCCGATCACTCACGGGGCCTCTCCGACATTAGCATCCAATCTGTATCCGCCTACCGCAACAATAGGAGGGAGCCCACCACGGTTGAGGGTTTAGGGTTTAGGGTTTAGGGTTTAGGGTTTAGGGTTTAGGGTTTAGGGTTTAGGGTTTAGGGTTTAGGGTGCTCTCGCCTCCGTGTGTTTCAGCCCGCGAGTTGCGGATGGTGATGCTGCCCCCCGAAACGACGAAACCGCCATCGCCGGCGGAGACGGCACCTCTCGTTGACAGCAGGCAGGGAGTCGGCTGATTTTGGGGTTTAGGGTTTAGGGTTTAGGGCTTAGGGTTTAGGGTTTAGGGTTCAGGGTTCAGAGGGTTTAGGGTTTAGAGCTTAGGGCTCAGGGTTCAACGTTTAGGGCTTAGGATCTGTGGGGGCCCAACTCGCCAGCGAAGCTCCGTTCGCCTATAGTCGTTGATGGAACACGGCTTCGAAGATTGGCCCAACTGCTGTTCTTAGAACGCCAGACAGAATGGCCAGTTAACTAGGTAGGCACCTCACCCAACCCCCAAAATTTGGCGAAACGGGATCCCTGAACCAAGACCCTCCGGCCTCCCTCTCGGCCGGAAGAGCACCGCGAGCTGTGGAACTCGCCGCCAGTGAAGTTGAAGCCGTTCGTCCAAACTAGAAGCCCACCTGGCAGTGTCAGTGGCTCCCACCGGGCGCACATCTTCTGAGCTGCCAGGGATGGTTTGGGGCGACCTGAACCAACTAGAGACTCATTGGGTTTAGGGTTTAGGGTTTAGGGTTTAGGGTTTAGGGTTTAGGGTTTAGGGTTTAGGGTTTAGGGTTTAGGGTTTAGAGGAAGCTGCCAGAACGGTGATTGCGCACAGGGTGGGAATTCAGCTGCATCAACGGCGTTTGCCAAAAAAATGTCTTCTTGCACCCGAAAATAGACGATGCCCTCCGCTTGAAGAAATGGTTATCTCGCTAGGGCCTCCGCAATTCAATGTGCTGGCAAGTAATATAGGGGCCTGAACAATTAAAATAGGGCATTGGTGTGTTACTATAGTTTTTAAGTACAAAGGGACCATAAGGGAATATTATTAGTATTTCTTCCGACCCCTATATTAGAAGGAGGCTTCCAGACCCTGTACCAGTTCATGTTCAAACCTTCTGCAGTTTCGGCCCCGCATCTGAACCCGACATCCTCACTCCCAACTGTACACCCTAAACACCCCCTCGAGAGCTTGCTCACCTCCGAAGATCTTGAGAATTCAGTGGGCTGGGGGGAGGTAGGCCCTTATTGAGCCCAAAAATGGATTTGCAATATGAAAAGGTTCGAGGTTGGGCCTAGAGGCTTCGACTCCTACACCCATGGCGGACTCGGCCCATGGCTTGCTTTTGGGTTCGCCATGAAAGCGACTCGAGCAAGGGAGACCGACGCAAGTCCACCCACAGCCTCTCCAGGGCTTAGCGTCAGACTTCTAGGCTCAAACTACGAGAGACCCTGGGAACCGTCAAAGGTCAGGAGGTCAGTATGCAAGAAGCTCAGAAGCCATTCCTTCGTGTCAATGCCGCCGCTCGCATCCGTGTCTACAGCCTGGAATGTCCCAGCCGGTAGCTCCCCAAGAGCTCCGCTCAACTCCGAAGGCGACAGGAGCTTGTCACCATCTGTGTCCAGCCTCCGAAACACGGTTCTGCGGCCGTCGGCCATGAAGTACACGTACAGGACAAAGGGCATGAGCAAAAGCCCGAAAGGCCTTGGCCTTGGCCCCAACTTCAGAGGTCCGATCCTCCTGTACTCCTCGGGCAGGTCCTTGGCAGCCACATTATTGTAACATTGGTGCGTTCTTACATCAATGATGATGTTCTTATATCCTGATACTGATAGCATGTGATTCTATTATTGTACAAGTGTAGTAACATAAGATTATATCATTATATCATTATAGTATTATATCATTATATCATTATACCATTATACCATTATATCACTATATCATTATACCATTATATCATTAAATCATTACATCATTACATCATTACATCATTACATCATTATATCATAATATCATTATACCATTATATCATTATGCCATTGTATCATTATATCATTATATCATTATATACAGATATTGGTATATGGTTACATTTTCAGCTATCAATACATTTACTACATTACGATAATGGTTTTTTAATATTTTGTATTAGTCGTATATACATCAATATCTAAAATGACACACAAATATTCCTACTTTAATGTATGTGTATGTTCATATATCAATGCACTAGCACTTGATTAAGACCCTCATATATGGACATTTTTGATATATGAATATATTAATATGTACATACTTCAATATATCAAAATACTCGCATATGTGTAGGTGATCTTGTTCATGTATTAACATACTCATATATTAGTATAGTGTTTATGTTTTATGTTAGTTTGTTAGAATGAATGTAGTGTTATGCTATTAAGTCAAGTACCACTCAGCTACCAAGGGTCTGGGATACCATCGTCCCAAGCCCGACGCGTGCTCGAATACACAGTGTCTCCCCGGCGGCGCGCCAGGGCAGCATGCGGAGCAAGGAAAACCGTTGGTGGTTGAAACGCCCACGCAAAGGCACATGCTAGGAGCATGCACGAAGCCAGTGATCTTGATGGGGCCACACTTCTTTTACCACGCATTGCGAGTGAGGAGCTGGGAGGAGGCCCTCACTAGAGTGTTTGAGCCGGCACAGTAGACCTGCGCAGACATGCTGGGGCCATGGCCCGTGAACACGCGACCTCTTTGCCAGATAAACACGAGCTCGGGCCGGCCCGCGGAAAGCGTCCCGGGCCCTTTACCCTACAGTTCCGGGTTTAGGGTTTAGGGTTTAGGGTTTAGGCTCCTAATGCCCAATGAAGTCGCCATACCGCCCTCGCCCCTCCCACCACCTGAACCACAAACCCTACACCCAGCCACCTCCAGCGTGGTCACTGTGGCAGTCGTCTAACAGCAATCGCCCACCACGCTGTAATGCCCCATTTTGGGCCATTATTCCACCTTCCAGACGCAGGAGCGAACAAAGAAGGCCTTGAGGATTGCTGCATTCTTGCCATTATTGTGTTTGAGATGTGTTGGATGTTTGCAACCTACCTAGCGAACTGGGTATGCAGGGCATCAAGCAAAAGGCCTTCGGAAAACGATGAAACAGAAGCAAAGCCGCAAATTCCCGATCGGTCGGACGAGGAGGCTATGGACAATTTCACCCTCACGTGCGCTGAGGACTGGAGCGACAAGTACACCTAGCACCAAGATCCGGGGATTTTGGGCGACTCGCGGTTGCCTTCTAGCAAAGAAACTTGGGGGAACCTTCTGTGGGTGGGCCAGTTTCTTAAAATTCTGCGCCAGGGAATCCATTTTTGTCCTTTCCCCTCACCCGATTCCGACGACGAAAATGACCAACCCTGTGTGTACCCCCGCCCATATACTCCATGTTTTGGGCTTCGCAGTCAGGCCACGAACCCGAGAACAGAGCTTGCGTCATCTCTTGACCAAGCGGTTCAGGAGTTCAGGGTTCGTGCAGGGTCTGGCTTGTCTAACGGCTAGAGTTTGCAGTTTCAGTGCTGCCGACGGTTACATCTAGTTTAAAACAATGCATCCACCTCGCACACAAGTATGACTTACTCACACCGTCCCGAAGATGTCCTTCACAACAATCGCTGCATCGGGGCGCAGAGTCAGTGGCACCAGAATCTAGGAGTGAGAAGCACAAGCCTCCACTCTCTCCTGCGGATGCATTCCGTATGGACACGTTTCCACCGCCGATCTCGAAGATGTTGTTCTGCACGTACACGGCACCTGCACAAGGTCCAAACTCTGAACCCCCTGCTGTAGGGCTGCATCGTAGAACAGCCGTAAGTTCATGAGCAAACGCCACCGGGCACTTAAGAACTTGAACTTTGCATGGCTTCAAGATTACCTTGCATGCAGGAGACCAAGAACCTGTGCCTCCGAAATACTCGGCTGTGCACGATTCGCATTCGAAGTGGCCGTCTGAGATGTTGAAACCACCCTCACGAATGGAGATCCCACCTGCCCGGGCTATGCAGGGCTGCGAGGGTTTACAGGCCTCCGGCATTTACCTTGGGCTCTTACAGGCCTCTATAGGCTGACAGGGCTCCACTCTTTGTTGTCGGTTCTTTGGCCATGGTTTCGGTCCAGATCCAGGAGCGTTTCCATCTATCCGTCGATCGACTACATATATGTAGATAGTGTGCATATGCGTGCATATGTCTGTGTGTGTCCCTCTCTCTCCCTCACTCTGTCTGTCCTGCTCTCTTTGGTCCCCACTCCGCTGGGAGAAGATATACAGATATGATATACACGTTTATATGTGTATATATATATATACATATATACATATATACATATATACATATATACATATATACATATATACATATATACATATATATACATATATACATATATACATATATACATATATACATATATACATATATACATATATACATATATACATATATACATATATACATATATACATATATACATATATACATATATACATATATACATATATACATATATACATATATACATATATACATATATACATATATACATATATACATATATACATATATACATATATATATTGTATGTATATATTTACATCTACAATATCTATATATACATATACAAGATATATATACAGGTATATACAATCATTATACATATATATATATATACATAATACATGTCTTCGGTGCCATGCACCTACCACGTTTTGTTCTGCCTTCTTGCTGCTGAGACGTAGCCGTGCGAGGTCTCAAGGGAGACTTGTGTGACACGCGTGAAGCTGGTGAGGTACAACTACTGGGACTCTCGCATGCATGCAATGAAGGACTGCTGCCGACGAAAAGAAACCCTAAACCCTAAACCCTAAACCCTAAACCCTAAACCCTAAACCCTAAACCCTAAACCCTAAACAACAAATTCCAAACCATGTGCCCAGAACTCAGTCTCAGGTCCACGGTGGCCGAGAATCAGAACTTCAGGGTATTGGAACAACTTGGGGGTTTACGAAATTAGGGACCCCTTATAGACCCCCAAATAGTAGGATTCCCTTTAGAGGACCCCAACAAGGTACCCCTGACTTCGGAGACCTGGGGGCTTTCACGCAACAGCCGCTGCGCAGCATCTGCAGGCGTTTCGGGGACATGCGGGGCGAGCCAGACTCCCTGCACCCTAAACCCTAAACCCTAAACCTTGTTGTTCTAAGGGTCATTCCAAGTCCTGGAAGTTTCGGGGCCTCCCCGTGTGGCGCCACAGCTGCGGAGAGTGAGGCGCCCCCCACGTTGCACGAAGCTGAGGTCGCTGTAGATGGCCCCTGGTTCAGACGGTTTAGGATTTAGGGTTTAGGGTTTAGGGTTTGGGGTTTAGTCCGAAGACAAGGAGTAGCAGAAAACATGTCACCGCGGAAGGCTTCATTTTGCTACCTTTCAGGCTTGGTAACTACGGTTTGAACAGCTGCTCGGCTTCGCGCACCCATAGAGTTGGCTATACAACCGATACAGCCATACAGGCTAGATGGTTCCCTACAAGTCGGGTGTGCTCGTCGAGTTTGCTGTGCTGTACAGAAAGTCGTTAACTGCATGCAGTGCCCTACCTGGTAGAAGTTTTCGGGTGTGTTAGTTTCACAACACCCTTCATTGCATTTAGCAATGCTGTACGATCAACCTTGCCCTTGGTTAAGCCATCAGCCAGCATGTTCCTAGTGTCAACCCAAGATATTACTTTGGGGATCTTAACGCGGATAAAGTCCCGCAGCCAGGCTATATGTATGAATGGAGCCTTCTCGGCTGGTAACTTGGGATATGCCGCTGATAGCACGTAGTACAGATTCATGGCGTCTATACAAAGTTCGGAGGTAAAAGCAAAGTCGCCCTGCTCTCTTGGGGCACGAGCAGTTGCAATGGTCAGTGTGCCGCAAGCCACTTCCTGGAGGGTTTCCAACAGAGCTGTAAGGGCGTCAACTGCACCCACGGCTGCCAGTGTTTCGGCAGCAAAGGTGCTGCGGGTGACCAGCTTCAAGCTCTGCGAGTGAGCCTCTAAGAAATGGCAGCACTCCTGGCCGTTGAAAGTGCCCATGCGCAAAAACACAGCCCCACGCACGCCGTAGCCTTTCTGTTCATTTTCTTTGCTGAAGGACGCATCAGAAAAAACGACTATACGGCGTGCGCAAGTCATGGCCGGAAAGTGCAGCTTTGCTTTCTGCTTTTGAAGGGCGGCCAACAGAAGGTTCAGGCGCCTTACATGCAGATTGGTGGGCGCAGCAGCATGCCGCTGGAGAGCCACCACAAACACGGCAGCCCACGCTTGCGAAAGCAGGCTGTATGCAACTGCGCCAAGAAGGCTCTGAAACAGGCCGTGCACAGTTGGCGTACACGGCTCATTGCTGGCCCTGCCTGTTAGCTCTGGATGCTGTATAGGCCGCATGGCTGCCAAGTACGCATCCTGGTTCATCTCGATGCTGCCATCGCTGTGCCTGACATGTGTCAAGCCGCAGGTAGGCTAGTTTGCCAAAACCGGACTCAAGGTGTGCTACCAACGCATCCACTTCGCGAGGCTCCCCGGCGATCTTGAGGTCATCGACGTGTTTTACAAGAATGAGCACGAGGGGGCCGCCTACGTGCTTATATTCCAATTCGGAGTCGTACAAGGAAGGCTGAAGACCGATCTTCTTGGACCGGGTGCACTGTGCGAGCTTTAGAGCAAAAGCACGGGGCGCATCACGGCACCCCGTACCAGGCTTCAAGCACTTTAGCGTCTCCTTGCGAGGGTCAAAACCTTCGAAGCCTGGCACTTGCTTAAGGTACTCAGCCTCACGAGCTGGCAGATCAAAATGGACCTCATGCTCGGCTTCTCCCGTGAGCTTACACATTTCTTGGTATGTCATGCCCTGCAGAAAGGCTTTGGCTACATCTACAGCAACCAGTTTCCATCCCGGATGGCAGGCTACCTCGGAGCTCAGCAGCCGCTGTGACTGCCGGGATCCTGTTGCTGCAAAATTTTCAAGGCCCTCTCGGAGGTCCTTAAAACCACGCAGCGCAAGTCGCATCCTGACGATCCGTTGCTCCTTGCCCTGCGCGTCTTGAACCATTTTCCATTTTGCCACGAACTTGCTGTCCATGACGTTTTTTGCAGTGGCTCTAGGCACCCCTTTGAAACACTTGTACTTGTTCCATGTTTGCAGCTCCTCCAAAGCAGCTGCTGCCACCATGGGCTGATTCTTTTGCATGTCTTGAGGGGTCAGCAGGTCGGTTTCCCTTTGGATGACTGCTTGGCGATAGCCCGTGGCATAAACTCTTAAAGCATACGTTTCATCAGGCACCAAACCGCTATCATCCCCAACAATTTTGGCCATACCCTTAGTAAACCACAGTTCTACACACTTATTCCCTGCTAGGTCATGGTAGTCTAGGGAACCGTAGTGACTAGTGGCAACTTGAGCAGACTGGTAGTGCACGCAAGGGTCCAGTACGGCGGTAGTACAAGGGTCGACTGGTTCGAAATATGGCACGTGGGCGTTTTCGGGGCCCTATCGGGCACGTACGCTACGATACGCTGGGGAACGCCCGCTGCTTTGAGGATTTGCTCCAAGGCCTGGCGTGAACAGTGGTAGCTTACGTAGTTCGGTACGGATAGCCCTCTCATTTCCATCCCGGAGAACGCGCATGGAGCGGCTTATATCAAACCGAGTCCAGTCCGAGGGGACTTCGTGTCCTACGCCTGCCTCACGAAAGACCCTGCGGTTGCGAGGCGCAGGCTTTCTGCATATTTCTGCTGGAGCGGGCAGATCAGAGGGAGCTGCAGACGCTGCTGCCGGAGCTGCGTTTTCCGCGTCTGAAGGCGCGTAGTCCGCTTCCTCCACATCCGAAGGGAGGGCTGCACTGGAAGAAGCGTCTTTGGGCTCAGGAACCCGCAGCTGTATCTTCCTCAAGTTGGCCAAGATCCGTACCATCAGGGAGTTGCGCCTGTAGATCACGAGAAGGATCATCAACAGCTTTGCGAGCTGGGGCTCGTGGGTGCCTGCCTCGGCGTGGGACACCCTTGCGTTCTGCTTGCAATCTGGCCCCATGGTGTGAGTGGGGTGTCCACGCGGTCTGTGAAAACGGCAACCCTCACATTTCCAGGATATGCTTTCAGAGCGGGGGTACTTGCATTGGCCTGGGACGCGGTTGTGCCGGTCATCGTGCTGATTTTGGCGTCCGCGGCATCCGGGGCACTTCCTCCACCACTCCTCGCCAGGCACCTCGGTTGGCGGCGCGGTTTCCCTTGCCCCACAGCAGCTGAGGGAAAGGCTTGGGTGAGTTGTTCGGCTGCGCATAAGAGGCTGAGGCCATCCATCACGCTGTCAGCTAGCGCGTTGCTCCACATTTGAGGTGGCTTCTACGCTTCAGGACACCACGGGTGGTCCTGAAGTGTGCGCAGATAGGTGGCCCACGCATCGTTGTCTGTGGCAAAAGACCAGGAACTGTCTGTGTCCCCGGCTGCCTGGTCACGGCCATGAACACAAAATCTGCCAAAGGGCCTTGGGCAGGGATCTCGTCAGCTACGCCAGTGCTGGCATAGAAATTTGGATTAGGGGCAGCGCCTGCTGTGCTGACTTGATGCTGATGCCCATCGGTGCGCGGGAGGTGGCACTCACGGCTCAAGTGATTTTCGCTCCCGCATCTAAAGCATCGCATCCTTTGACCATCCTTGCCGAGCGGATTGCGGGCTCGACCCTTGCCCTTGCCATTGGAGCGCTTGCCCCGGCCCTTGCCCTTTCTTCCCTTGAAGCCCGGGAACATCATGGCTACCTCCTCGTCGTCTAGAGAGGCAAGGAATGCTGCAACATTTGGCCGCCTGCCGTTTCTGTTCTTCCCTTTGCCCTTGCCACTCTGCCGGCTGATGTACCGCCTGGTGAAGCGGCGCACAGCGCGCGTGGGACGACCCATGTACTTTCGCCAGGTGGCCTTTGCGCGGCTGTAGGACCAGAACAGATGTTCTTGCAACGACGCCTCATCTGTCCAACCCTCGGGAGTGGCACTCGGGACCTCAGTGTGGCCGGTCGATGATGCAGTGTCCGTGTCGGTGGTCCCGTCAGACTCGAGATCAGCAAGGAAGGCACTCTGTTGCTGGACCTCGAACTGCAACCCCGAACCGAACTCATCTCCCCCATAACCCCAACTAGCGGCGGCGCTGCTGGACTGCTCGGCTGCCCCGTGAGCCATGCAAGGTGCTCGGCAGCGCTGACACTGGGGTCCGTGGCGAGGTATGCGGGTTGGGAGTTACGTCCTCTTAGGGCTGCAGCTATGCTACCTGGAGAGTGTTCCACTAAGTGTCCCATCCTACGGAGCTGGGTCTTCAGGACCTGGAACTCCTGTTCATCATTAGGGAATCTACCCTGGAGAAGCAACAGAAGCTGCAACAGCTCCGAGTCGTTGACTTCGCAGGCGCGCAAAAAAATTATACTAGTCCGGTGATTGACATCGTGAGCTGTCCCAGATCAAAAGAGCGTTGACGAATCAAGTCAAACCGGGTGATTAATTCGTCGATCCTTTCATTGCCTTGGCGACTAAAGTTAAACAGGTCTGTGATACTGGTCAACCTCAGTTCTTCACCCAGGTCAGCAAATCGCTCGGCCAAGGCATGCATGATGTATGTGAGTGGGTCTACATGATGGCCATTTATGGCCCCCCCGTGTATGAGGGTCATAGGCGGTATGGTACGGCAAAACTCGTAGGCAGTTCCCTTGAGGCTCATAGTCAGGAGAGCCGCCTTTCGCGAAGGATCACCCTCTGCCGCGATGGACCATGTGAGGACATCCTGGGCCCAGTGACGGAAGGGATATCTGTGGGCCATGTCCGGGGACCATGCCGGGGGCATCCTGGGAACTGCACTGCCGGGAATCATGTGCATGAACGCTGCACCCCAACCCACTATGATAAGAGAAAAAGCCACTAGAGCTAAACCCTGCGGCCTGCTTAACCCCCTAGCGAAACCCAGAAAAGAACCAAGACTAGGGTCACTTATAGTCTTAGAGGGTGGGGGTGATGCTACTGTTGCAGCTGTGGCTGCAGTGTGCTCGCTGTCCCCAGTGACAAAGGCCTTTGCAAATGGCCACCATCTGTCCCAGCAGAATCAGGAGCACATTGGGGACGGACACGAATGGAAAGACCCGTAGGCCACATCTTTCCTGTCCGCCGCCAATTGCGCTCAAGCGATTTTGCTGGGGCAGAAGGTTGCCCGCTTCTGCAAAAGCCGTGGCGGAGTAGCCGATCGTAGCGTCCGGGTCCGGTTGCGCGTCGCCGTATACGTGCCCGCTCCATTCGTCGACCCAGTCCGGTGTAAAGGGCTCGGTGGCATACATCTCGTGATGAGAATACCAAAAGGGCGTCATGTATGGCGTGCTTTCACGCGAATTCCGGGGACCGCGGCCAGGTAGATGTGGAGAAAAGGGTGTACCGTCTGGCTTGCTCCACCTGGTCCACGATCGAAACTGTGCTGCGCCGTGCAGCCGCATCCGCCGGTGTAGGCGAGATGATGCCACTTCCCAAGTCGGCCCTGGCAACGGAGCATGAGCCCCGCTACCAAGTCCGAAGACAAGGAGTAGCAGAAAACATGTCACCACGGAAGGCTTCATTTTGCTACCTTTCAGGCTTGGTAGCTACGGTTTGAACAGCTGCTCGGCTTCGCGCACCCATAGAGTTGGCTATACAACCGATACAGGCTAGATGGTTCCCTACAAGTGGTTTAGGGTTTAGGGTTCAGGGTTCAGGGTTTAGGGTTTAGGGTTTAGGGTTTAGGGCACAGGGCTCGGAAAAATCAATAACAGCATTCCGTTATGGCCTCTTTATAATTCTACTATGACAGCATTCCGTTGTGGTCCCTTCATAATTATACCATGATAACCCTAAACCTTTCTTAATTTAGGGCGCGGAATAATTATCCGTTATGGTCTCTTTCAAACTCGACTAATTAAGGCCCCTATAGTAGGGTGTTGGACTTGGCTGTGGCATCTTTCAGCTTGGTTCCAGTGGTTTATCGCGACTTTGGGTTTGAGTGTTTAGGGTTTGTGGTTTGTTGCCAGCCGCACTGCCCACGCTCTCATGCGACTCAGCCACAATAGTACAATTTAGGGCCTCAACCCTTTAGAGTTTTTGGCCACCCGCCCAGCTGACCTTCTGGCCACTCCGCAGGGAACTGTGACGGGGGCTTGATCTGCTTTGCTCGTGGCCCAGCAGCGCGGAATCACGACCACCCACATTGAAACTCAAGATCTTCACTGGGATGCCTTACAGTATTGAACCTGCAATGAAGCCGCTGCCACGTGGCTCGAAACGAACCTGAAAGCCTCCATCCCTGAACCCCGAATCCCAGAAGCCACGAACCCTGCAGTGCAAGCTTCAAAATCGGGCTTCGGGTTCGCTGTCTTTCAGCATGCGATAAAGAGGCTTTGGGTTAGGGGTTGCTTCACGATGAGGCCTTTGCAAAGTCGAGGTGCTGCTGATAGCTTCTGGGTGGTTGGCCAAAAGGTTTCGGGGTGTAAATTGCGCCGTCCCTGAGAAAAGGGCCTCCGAATGCGCCTGCATAGGCGTCCTGGATAATTGCAACGCCAGCCAACATCTTCACGTAGCCCATGGAGAGAATTGCACCTGCGCAGATGGGAGGGTGATGATTCTTGATGAGCTGCAATCTGACCCAAAGGAGCAAGCAGTCCAATCCCAAGCAATCCGCCAAAGTGATGCACTGTTGGTGATTGCCAGTGTGTGAGTCACAACAGTCAAAACATTACTCCCAGCCCGTAGACTCTCTTTCTAGGACGTCTAGGTGCAAGATGCAACCGTCATGCACCACCAGACGTTCCCAGACACACTGACTACTGTTGACTAGGCAAGCCTGCGAGATCGTCTTAAGGCCACGAAAGTGAGCGCGCATCGAATCCCAGGATGTGACGTCGCCCGCATATTCGAGTTCAAAAGCACAAACAAGGAGCCGAGCACGAACCAGCTATTGTGAACAATTGTGCTGCCCTGCGCCTACTCACCGAACTACGACCAGGGCTGCGCCCGACTCCACATACTCTCAATCATCTCGGCAGGCACGGCAACAGCTAAAGTAGTTCCGCACATCTTGGGCGCCTAAGTCCCTTCTGGGCCAAGTTTAGAGGGGGTGAAACGCATCACTGCTGGCAACCCAAAGCCCAGAATCTGAAGCCCAAACCTTGTTCAAGCGAGGACCCAAAGACTCCCATGGAAAGGCATGGATTGAAAGATATATGTATATTATATATATATATATGCATATATATATACACACACTTACTTTCAG